ACAAAGAGATCGTGTCGATATTACTAGCAATATCAGGAAGATAAAATTGAGATGTTATGAGGAATTTCATGAAGAGATTGTGTATCTATTTCCAACAATATCATGGAGAGATCGTATGGACATTATCAACAGTATAACGAAGAGATCATGTCGATAGTAGCAGGAAAACCATCAAGAGACATTGTAGATATTATTAGCAATATCATGAATAGAGGATATAGATCAGGAATGAGCAGATTTTTGATGAAAAGGTCAAATCAGATATCACTTAATTGGGAGCACTCTTTATCCTAGTTGTTTTGAAGCACGATTCTCCGATACACGGTGCAAAAAGTTTTGTTAGCCTAAATAGTTTGCTAAGTAAATCTACAACGATACTTTGGGTAAAATAAGGATTGAAATCTGACGTTACATTATGGAATGTTTGAGAACGCACTCACGACATAGGATTTTATTTGTTGTTATTTTACTTAAAGTCAGTGGCGAAGCTGGACTCCCATGGATGGTCGTGCCCATTGGCCACTGCGCAACAAAGATGCGCCTCCGCAATATTATCCAAAAAAGTATTTCAGTGATCTAAGGAGCTCATATAGCAATTGCATGGCACTGCATTACTTTTCTGACACGACAGAAACAAACTAAATTTAAAAGTATAAAAGCTGCTTTTGTGTCTCCCCTGCCTCTGGCTGATACTCAAAATTCATTTTCTTTCCAAAGTGTGATGGAGGTTCCTGGCAACTTTTTTTTATTTTTGGTATTATTTACCCAAATATCAGTTCACAGGATAATAAAGCTTGAACAAAAAACTTTTTCTAAAATTTTATCAAATTATTGCAACAATGGGACCAAAATATACACCTGTGGACTCAGATTTCAAATGTATAATAATTGCAAGCACTATTTGTTTTGCACACATAAAATTTAGAATTTCATTCAAAAAAGAGGCAAAAGTTTGGCTTTAAAGGCAAACTTGACTGTGAAGTGCAAGGCATGTATCAAGAATTAGATGACAAATGAAACAGATGAAACAGAAATATTAGAATATCTGCTGAAGACAGTACTGTCATGCAGCATTATTGATCTAGCCACAGTTAAAAAGCACTAAATAGTGAGTGGCAGAATGAAGGCAATATTTCTTTAAAATCCTTGAGACCTGTTTTTTCATCAGGTTTGTTGCATAAAGATTTGTAGGTAGCCACTTTGTTAAGCTGAACCAAACCACTCACAGAGATTCACCAATCAATTAGATACCTAATTTAAGGTTATGCCTTATGAGATAATGATAAACTACACCATGTATGACAATATTTGAAAGTTGCATAAGATGAAATAACCATTATAAGGTTTGAATAAAATTCCAATTGAAAAGCAGCATTAAATTAATCATTGAAAAACAGATCATGACAATTTATGAATAAACAGGGCAGCATACACAAATGAAGAATGTTCAATAAATTTCTTCAGTGTCCAGCTAGGTGGAAATACTGAGATCAGATGACGGGGGACACAAATTTAATACAGAATAATCATGAGCCTGAGAGTTATTTGCAGACAACAGTTTTTCTCGAGCAAACAATTAAGGGGGGTATGTGTAATAGCTTAAAGATTATTTCACCCTGCTTATTTAAGATAAACTGACTAATTCATGGAGAAACTGCACACAACCAAATTACATGAAAAGCAAGGGAAAAAATCAGAAAATCACTAGGCTGAGCTTGAAAACATATCATCAGAAACATAAACAAAACCATCAACAGGTTGATCAATGCTGTTTCATTTTTCCCTTTCACGTGTTTTAAGGAGGGTAAAACTCCAGTAGAGCTAATTTGCAAAAAGGTTTTCTACTATAAATACTTTCAAAATTCAGAACTTTCTACTGGGAAGATTCTAGTCCAAAAATACATCAAACACCTCGTAACTAATGTAAAATGAATAGATATTTATGTACAATTTGCCCCAAATGTTCATAATAATTTCGTCTTGGACACCTAAGTATACTGTTGTCAAAATAATTATTGATTATTTTATTGATTGATTGATTGAGTTTATCCCGTTCAGTGTGCGTCTCTCTGGTACAAATCCGAGCGAAAAACTGCCATATTTTCCATTCTGATCACGTTAAAAACATCCAGATGATATTCAAATTATTGTCCATTTTCTAGATAAGATAGCATCTTGCACATTTGAAGATCTTAATTTTGTTTAGGTGAATGAGAGCTTATTCGCCTACCAAAGAGATCCATTGGATTGATTCGGTATAGGCTGAGTCAAAATAACTATGAAACAATCTCTCCACAGTCGTTAACCAGTTTCCTGATAAATTACAACGGTTTATTGGACTGGAACATTTACATGCACCATTTAAATCACCCTGAAAAACACACCAACATCCACAAACGCCTGCAGTATTGACAAGTAGGCCCCAACAGGGTGCAGATAGTCCTGCCTTCAGAAACGGGCACGACCTCGTGATTGATGTCCTCCAGCTTCAGCCAATCAAACGCTGGAAATCGTACCTCAACTATTATTATTATTATGACGAGGTCATGCTCATTTCTGAGGGCACGACTAGCATTGTTTTTCTCTATTGTTGGGCACGACCAAACATAGGCTGTCCAATTGAAGCTTCTATTGTTGGGCACGACCAAATCACAAGGTACCAGATTTTGGGCACGACCAATATGAAACCCTGGGGATTTCTACTCCGCTCCTGAAATAATTCCAGGGGCCCTGGGCGATTCGAGTAGAATTCACTTATGTCTGCGGGATAAGCTTGATCGATTTGTCGATTATACGACTAATTTTTGTCTATATTTGAAGACTTTTCGCGGAGCAAAATAAATTTTTGCCAATATGTGAAAACCTTACTTTTGGAAGTTTATGGTCGTGCCGGGCACGACAGGCACGACCTTTGGCTTCGCCACTGCTTAAAGTTGCAATATCAACAAAGCTTAAAAAATATGAAAGTCCCAGATACACACATTTGATTAAATTCGAGCTTGGCTATTAATGACATCAAAATATTTATATATGTATTTGCTTCTACCTAGCATCCTAAGGTAGTTTTTAGGACACTGAGAAGCTAATGCTTATCGAAAAGTGCCCTGGTTCTTCCTCTCGATGTGACCACACCTCGTAATTCCTGCGCCTGGAATTACAAAGAGCTAGCGACTCTTCTCACTCTGGGTGAAAGTTTGATTATGCCAGGGACTCGAACCACGGATTCTCGGGTCTGTATTCAGAAATAAACATCCAAATAAAAGCAAACTATTGCCATCCTAAGGTAAACTTTGGTTTTAATTTTACTGTCATAAAGATTTGTGGTGTATGGGCTAGGATTACTCGTACGGTTTTTTTGTAGATCTTGGGGAATAATTCTCCCGCTTCTTTAAGCTGAACTAGAATTTTCTAAATATTTGGATTAACGGAACGTTTGCTTTTCCTTTCGAAAGTTTTAGGTTGTTAATATAAGATTTCAGCTGGATATATTCCGCATGCTTTTTGCAACTAGTCATTTCTTTTCCTACAATTTGGCATAACTTTGCTCCATAAGAGGGGTTGAGAATATTTAAGTGACAAGGAAATAAAATCAGCTGATTGTTGGAGTGAAGATAAGAAACCTATTTTGTCGTTTTTGTTGTTTTCGAATCTAAGCATTTACAGCCAAATTCATTTCTTGGCAAAATCACGCCTCTGATCAAAATATTATGAAAAAGCAAAGTTAAACTTCACACTTTCTTTCAAAATCAAGCAAGGGACAGGGGAAAGTTGATAAAGATATTGGAGGGTAGGACGATTCTTCATTTCCCTCTTGTCAACCTCAATTGAAATTAACGATGTGATTTCTAAAAACTGTTAAAACTAGCTCTTCCTTGAAATTCCAATATTCAGAAATCTAGATACTACCTGCAAATGGGACACATGTCTCAATTTTTTGGAAACAGAGGTAATATGCCTACTTGCAGCTGACAGAGGTGCCTCTTTTGGCCTACATATGCTTCCAACGTCCATTTGTACAATCACAACATTAAAATAAGTGGACCAGAGCAGTATTTGCTTCGTTGAGATAGAACTACCCGAATGGAGCCTGAAATGCGATGAATGTTGCCTGATTAGAAGGGCTGCAGCTCTCCCAGCCCAGATGTCTACTATGTCCATATGTCCAAAGTATACTTGAATCAAGATGGAAGTTTAAGTCAGAGCCTGTCTCGATAAATACTAAGAATGAAAGCATATCCTGTCTAGAGACGAGGTAGCGACGAATTCTTTTCTAGTGCTGTATCTAATTAGAATTGAGAGAGCTGCAGTCCAATAAATTATTATGAGGATATTATTTCACACATGTTCTCAGGTGTGCCGCATTAAAAGCTACCTTTTCTAGAATTCCATATTTGACGGGGGCCCTATTTAAGCAACAGTCTCAAGCATGCTTGCCTCGATATCTTTTGTTTCACCTATTTATGAATTTCACTGTATCTATTTTGGCGACAGATACATAAATCAGGGTTCCGAAACTCAAAGCAATTGCTTGCAACTCAAAACTGAATAGAAATAAGTATACTAGACACTGTTCCCCTTTTACTAGGGGCAACGAGTAGAAACAATTTCAGGAAAACACGGCCTTTGCTATTCAAAAATTGTGGGGAAGCAGCCCTCAAAACCTCATACCCCATTCGTCTATGCTTTTGTAAATCACTTAAATCTAACATTACAAGTCTTAAGGAATTCGAAATTGTTGCAAAGTAAGATATTGGAATACGTAGGTATAGCCCATACAATGTTCGTGGTCCAAAGAGCGAATGGTTGACGCCAGTTTTGAGAACTCAACGCATTAAACCAGGTGAGAATAAATTGCGTCAGGCACATCCGCAAAAATTGGAATGCCCCGTTCTACTCTCATGGTCATTTTGCTCTAAAAACTCTTCATATCTGGAAACTAATGACAATTGAACATTGAACTGTGGCGCGGGTCCTTCATCAGTCGGGCAACAGCCAAACGAGCGAAGGAGCAAACATCAAACAACCGAGCAAGGCCAAGTGACGTCATGCAGCGCCAAATGTAATTGAAGTTGTTGTTGTATGTGTTGTCGTGCGTCACGAGCTTGGCTGATATGGTGTAACGTTAATTCAGATAAATTCAAGAATTTTGACGGTACTTCATTCAAGTAGCTTGAAAAGGTGCGTTAGAGCTATGCAGATTAACACTTGCACTGCAGCATTACCTTTTTTCAAATGCATTTTCCGCAAAAGGTTTGCAGTGTTTACAAATGACTGAAGCTCAACAGGTAGGCCAGAACCTTGCTTGCTTGCATGCCAGGAAAATCAGCCCAATTGCAAATGACAGCAGGATTGCAAATGATAATCAGGAATTAACGCGATATCTATTCAATGTAGAAACTGGATAAAAAGACCGTTAACGAATAAGAATACATAATTCCCTGTTTCATAGTTCTTAGACTGGCCACAGTGAGACGAGGAAGAAGGCAATGCTAGTCCCTATGAACTTCCTATTTCAAATCTGAAGCCTCTGCCTTGGGAATTTATCTCTTCTTGCTTTAACCCTTTTATATGTATCGTTGCATTTTAATGTTTTGTAAATGTGGCGCAAACAAAACGACTTTAATTTTGGATTCCAATGATAGGTCATGAAAAGTTATTTTCTGTGCTCTTTGTCTTTTTGGCCTTGTTTTCTAGATACAGTTTAAGCAAAACTCAGAATTTCTTTTTTTCTTGTGTCTACGCTATTTTCATGTCACCAAAGTCAAAATTAAGAAGCTATTATCCAAATCTTGGTAAAGCAATTTTAGGTCCAGAAATTAGGAACTTTAGGACCTAGGTTTTGAGTTAGGATTTTTATAAAAAGGCATGTAATGTGTATTGTGGATTTGTCAAGATTTATGGCGACTGAAATGATTATTTTTCTTTCATGTTTTTTGAGATTTATTCAAGGAGTCACTATTTTTGAGATTTATTCAAGGAGTGAGGTGGATAAAATATTTGGGGCAAATCCCCCCATAGGCACAATCACTGACTTGACACCACTCTGCAAACATAAATAACAGCCATCATTAATTCCAGTCCCCCCCATCCCCCCCTGGGATTTACAGCCTGATTTGTAGTTGGTTTTTGTTCCACAAATATTTGTAATTACTTATGAATGATTGCTCAGTTTTAGAAGCTAAGAGGCAGTGTGGCTGGACCAGCAAGCTTAATGTTGAGTTCTGCAGAGTTTTTTAAAGATGAGACTCTGCAAGGTATATCAAGATCAATTAAACAGGTATGTTTGTGATATCCTTCTACTGGCTTGGCCAATTTTAGAGTAGGAATTCTACTGTGGTGGTAGTCAAGGCAGAGCAAATGGTTCTAATTTGCAGCTTAAAGTCTCACTTTTAATGCAAACATCAGGCAGAAATATATACTGTTTAGTCTCACAAAGCCCCTACCTTTGAATAAGCCCCCATCCTAAAGTAATTTCTGTGAAATAAGCCCCCACCCACAAACAAGGCTACATGGGCTGAGGTATTGCCTCTACAACAATAGGTTTATCCAAATAATTTTGCATTTTTATGCAGTCTGACTGGCCTCAAATAGAGCAAACAAAATTTCTCTGGCTGCTGCTAAATAAGCCCCCTTTTCTAATATGACCCCACTTCAAAACATTTTTTGTGAAATAAACCCCAGCGACTTATTTTAGGACTTATACTATTTATAGTTTATATGGATCAAGCGAAATTCGAATCTAAAATCTCTAAAATAGTGGAATCGTTAAATTTTATTTGCTACAGTCTAAATTTCACTTAAATTAATTGGATGATTCATGTTATTTTGTTTTACCCTAGTTGCATCAAATGCAAGCTGAAGCAGAGGCACAGAAATTGGAAAATTTTGGAATCACAAAGCAAAATCCACATTTCAAAAGTCTGTTGCATCACATAGACATGGGTCTTTCATTAGGGTAAGGAGTATTCCACAAAAAAGCAGATTTTGCAGTGTAGTCTATACTGTACTCTGTGAAACTATTGCATGTGATGTAGCCCAATAAAGTAGCTTTGTTTTCTTTGTTTTAGCCTAGTGCCTTACAGTTTTCATACCTTTGTGGCTCAAAATGAGCTGTTTGTTATCTGATAACTGTCAGTTTCTAGAAGTCGTATTCTCCTGTTCATAATCTTTATAATGTTTGCCATATTTTCTATGTTGTAACTTGCTTCAAAATTTGAAACTGATATCTTGCTTTTGAAAGTGAATTTTTGTTTCATCAAGTTTTCCAACTAGTTATAATTGAACTATCAAGGGTTTGCACATTAACAAAAACATCAAATCAATGTTTCCACGCAAACTTTTAAAGCTAAAGACAAGAAAGTCAATATTTGCAGACAGCTACCATCCATCAAGCAAACAAATACTTTCAATTCGCTGTACTAGGCCTCATCCATTCTTTAATAATAGATGTACCATAATTTTGCTCTAGATTGCAGTTTCTTCTTTTTTGTGATGAAAAAATTTATGACTTTTGTGCTTTTTTCCATGAAGCCATTTTAGATTATTTTTTTCTATTATATGGTCAGTAAGTTCTTTGGTGCAAATAATTTTTATTGTTTTCTGTATAGTTTGAATGAACCAAAACATGGATATTGGCCACTTGTTAAAAAGGTCTGTCATAAATCAACAATTCAGATGGTGCAAAGCCATCATGAAGCTGCTGATGAAATTAAACGAGGTTTGTTTGATACACAAGTAATGCCTAGCTTACTTAGACATCACATAGTACTTTGTCAATCGTTTTTATTTGAATGGGCAAGTTTACCTTTGGGTAGATGTCTACACTGCACCTAATTGCCAAAATGTGTTTCAAAAGAGACAACTTTTTATCCAATAGTGTGATAAATCGTAATTGATCTTGGAAAGTATGTTGTTACACACGTGTTAAATTCTTACATAAAATATAATTCAGTTGATAAAGAGAACGCCGAAGGTTCTATTGCCCTTGAAAATTGGTGTGCTATGCCAGCTCTGCTTCTATTTGTACAGGAAATTGATGGTTTGTGTAAAGCAAGTTGGTTTTTATTTTAAAATGAAATAAGAAAATTTTAACTGATAAAAACGCTGCTAGAAGGCAAAGTTCTAGCTGAGCAACACAATTATGATCCAAAACTCAAACATGGAAAACAGTTTCTTTCGATCGTTGCCATTCTTCACAGCAGGAATTTTCAAAATTTCAAAGAAAGAAGAATATCCAGATTCATACCTTGCGATGAACATCCTAAAAGCTTTGTTCTTCCAGAAAAGTGTTTTCTTCACATGCGTGAAAAGCTCTTGTGTTTCCCAGTTGTAGTAGCTCACTGCACGAAACTGCTCAAGAAATCGTGCATCAAGTCAGCTATGCTTCCTTTATTTCTAAAAAACGGAAAGCAGAATGAAGGCATAGAGAGTCTAGCTCTATTATTCAAATTTTGCATCTTTCATCAGATCTTTGTTCGCTGTACATTGCAAGTAAAAGATGTGAATTCTCTAGAAAATAAAAAAGCATGGCTTATGTTTTTCTTATAAGGTCGAAGATTTGCGTGCATTAACAGAGATATTTCTTGCGAAACGGCGTCGAATTAATGAAATTTTAAGATAAAAGGGAACTGCAACATGCTTTTGGCCCATAGTAGCAGGATTTGCCCTCGTATGGCAATAGCGGGGTGTCTGTCTGAAAAGCTTGAATATTCTACGAGTTTTCCTGAGTGCGATGTGCAGCTTCTTCTCCTCGTCTTCAATTATTAATCAATCATTGTTTATTCAATTATTGTCAATATTTTCAAGATTCAACCGAAAAATACGAAAACCATTCTTCAAATGCAACCTCAGTTGAATTAACGTTATCTCTAGTTGTTGTATTTGGTCGTTATTTATGTTTATACAATATTAGTACTGGAAGGCTATCAGTTAATTAACTGGAAAAGTGTATTACCAAGTTAAATCAAATATTTCTCCTTCTGTTTGCTTCTTAGAGTGTTTGAATGGAAAGAATATGTCTTCTCTAATTTGTAGAAGCTTTTGGATCTCATCATATGAAGGCAGTTGTTTTTTACTGTACCTCAACATATTAGCGCTTTATAACGCATCACCATTAGTCTCAAATGTTATGCATTTATATTTAGGTCATATTTGGCTGTACCTGACGTTTATGGAAAGTTCACTTCCAAGTTATATCAAGCTCTTGCGAACCAATGAAAAAAGTCTTAGAACGTTCTACAGAAAATACGCGCTACTCCGAGATACAGAGGTAAGAAAATGAATTATTATTTAAGAAAAATTGCTCAAAAGTGTTATCATGCAAGCAATTTGGATAAAATGGAAACCGTCTTATTTGCCTGTCAACCAGTTGGTAGTAATCATGCTCTCTAATATCTTAATCGTCCAGAAATTATCACGGTGTCCAGTGTCCAGAAATTAAGCATTATCCATAGATGGTTACCGTTCCAGGGCTGGAGCTAAAGGAAGGTTATTTAACGGTGCAGTAGTTTTAAGGGAGGTCATTGCATAGCTTGACAAGAGTATGAATAGTGAAAGGAATTTAAATTTGAGCTTGGTTTTATCGTTTTTACCTGGCAAGGTGGAAATGCCAAGCCATAGGTCATTTTACTTGAATTCAATTATAAAGAAACTGCCATTAAAAAAGAGAAATTTGTGGATGGCAACTGGGCAAAATCCAGAGGAAGGTTGTGGTGTTTTCTTAAATTGATGTGAAAGTATTCATAATATTCGTGTTAAGAGATGTTGTTCAGGAGACATCCAGTCTCACTTTACTAATCTTCCGATTTACATGAAGTAATATACAGAGGGTTATAATGATATGTATCATTACAGTATAAAGCATTGAAAACAGGTATTCTTGAATGAACCCAAGCTGGATCATCCTTTTGTCTCTATACCTTGCTTCCAAAGACACTGAGGATTTTGAATGCGATGCCTTAGCTTTTATACTTTGAAGAAAATAAAGCTATTTGTTAATATGCATACTTCATTCTTTCAGATGCGTATATTTCTCTCTAAACTCTCAAAATTAAATGTTGGGATATTGAATGTTTGCAATGTTTTTATGAAATTGATATCATAATAGTTTTGAAATTGTTTCAGCGGTGCATGATTTTTGAGCAGCTTCTAGTCGGCCTGGAAATGGTTATATTTGTCTTGGACTTTGTAAGTTTTCGATGATCTTCAATCTGTGTAAACATATTTGATATATTGTTATCTGATAAAAAATTCCGCCTTGGTTTTTTAAATCAGTAGTATTGAAAGTACAAATTAATTACTAAATCGGCAAAATTATCAAAGATTTTCGTAGTCAAGACTATTTTTTTGCATCTGCGAATATTTAGCAATTCTGCATCAGCAGATTGAAGTTGAATCCGCGTGGAAATTGCAGTGCCAAATAAGCTTTTGATCCGGAATGCAGAAATTTTTTATCCAAGTTTATCTTAAAAACAGCTTTTTCCGTCACAAGAAACAAATAAGATTTCTCATATTTTCATCATAGATGTGAAGAAGAATGTAAACGTTTCCTGTTGTTTTTAGCTCATTTTTGATGAGTAAAAAGTTAAGTAGTGAGGTTAAATCGCTTTGGCTTAGGAGCTGTGAACAAAACATGAGATATTTGAAGATTTTTCAAAATTTAATTAAGGAACGTGCTTTGGTGTTTTGAGCAGGACTGTTGTTCTAAGTTGCATCCCTGAGTTTCTTGCTTAATGCAATCATCAGGCAATAATCAAAGAAGATCATCTAAGGAACGTGCTTTGGTGTTTTGAGCAGGACTGTTGTTCTAAGTTGCATCCTCGAGTTTCTTGCTTAATGCAATCATCAGGCAATAATCAAAGAAGATCATCGTACATTATTTTCTCCATTTATTAATTCAACTTGCGACTTTAAGTAAGATATGGAAAGCTTGTTAGCATAAATGCTCATTTTATCACTAATGAAATTGTTCAAAGCTCATTTTGCCATTAATTATTTTTAACCTTTTTAGCAAATTTTTGATAAAGGTATTACATGTAATTTTAAAACCTAAGTAAAAAATTATGACTTCAACGGAATAACAGGCATGAGGCTATTTGTTTGATGCTAAACGAAAATTTCCTTCTGTTTTATCATTGAATTTGCATTATATACTGCATTAACTAGATTTTGCAGGCTAAATCTTTTTAATCTTGTTGCTTAGAAAGTAAGGTATAATTTGGTCATTTTATGTTCTGTGGTTTATTGTAATAAGATAGACTCCATAATTTGTAAATCTACTAGCTGACGCTGGAGATATTTTCCTGTTTCTGTTGACGTCATTGATTTTTTTCAGAATTCGCCGCTCAGCAGCTTTTCTCGTGAGCCGTTATTCAAACCTCACGAGTTTTATGCCGCCAAGAGAAATTCTAAGGGCACCGAGCAGTCGTCTGCCGTGCCTGTTGGCGCACAGCCATTGCAGGTCTCAAGTGGAACTCAGACACCGCCAGATGTCACTATAAGCGATGAAACAGACAGTGTCAATGCGCGGTCGACTCCTGACTTATTGCGTCAGGCAACAAATGCCCAGCACTCAGGCAGCTCTGCGGTACACGCACACCGTAATCCTTATGATGACGATATCGTTACTCATCTGCGCTCACGTAAACGAGGCGACAGTGCAAAGAGGAAACCAAAAGTCAGGCTTGAAAGCGAGGATAGCGTCAGTGGGACATTTTCAAATGAGCTCGAGGATGACAATTATATTCCAGAGGTAATTTGAGGCTATGCTTCAAGAATCTTATTCAGCTATCAAGCAGCGTCTCGCCATTTCCCTTCATTCAGCTATCAAGCAGCGTCTCGTCATTTCCCTTTCGAAACTTCATTTGCTTGCTCTCACTGTATATTTCATTTCATTCCCAAATATTTATGCAAGGTGACCCTCCAGATCTTATGTCTTTTTTCAGGGAGTCATGCTAAAAACTTACGATATTAAAATTAAATTATTGTTGATATATAAGATTTAATTGTAAAAAAATTTATTACAGTTTAAAAAACATTTAAGAAATGCTTAATAGTACGAAAATAAGTACTACATCCTAAGTAAAGCATGCCTTAGATTTTCTTTTATAAATGAGCTAAAAATCCTGGAAGATTTTGTTCTGCTAGGCAATTGCTGTAATTGATAAGGCTTTGCCAAAACAGCTTACATTTCATGCTAGTCGAATAAAATCAAAATTCTTGATACGTTTAAGAAAGAAGAATCTCGGAGTTTGGAGGTTTCCATGACTGAATTGACTCACTGAATATATTTTTCACCTTAGCATGGCATTGTTTACATCTAGTCTTGTTGTGTAAACTCAACATTGAATGTTTCTGATAACGCCAAAGCTAATTCATTCCTTGTGTAAATGACCGAAAACTTGATAAATCCCAAATTTTTCTTGTTCACAATGCAACCTTTTCCTCGCTGCCATAAAGTTTTCTCTTAACACTCATTGATCTGGATGTCTCTTGATCTCCCTTCTTTTCACCCCAGCTTCTTCCTGCCGGGAACGCCTTTTCCTAGAAGAATTCTCAGGGCTACGCCTTTTTACTGTTACATATAAGCATTTTTGCGAGCTATCCTCAAAGTAGATCTTCTGATTTTATGCTAAAACGACATTTTATCGGTAATGCAACTACGTAAAAAATATATCTTGCATTTTATCTCTACTCAAAGCAGGGCCGCATTTACATCTGTTGGGGCCCTGGGTCCAAAGTTGATTAGGGCCCCCAAAAAAATTATGTCACATAAATTTTTCTTGGCTGAACATAATCAAAACGAACCAATTCAAACACAAGATTGAAATCAAGAGCACGTTAAAGGCTTTTCAAAATCTTGCTAGGGGCCCCCTAAATCTAAGAATTGTAGGCCCCAGTTGGCCCATATGTAAATGCGTCACTGACTCAAAGCGCTCAAAAGACAAACCCTTCTCCAGAGTCATTTAGAGGACTGGCTGTCTGTTTTTATCATTTTCGCAGAGTGAAACTGTTCAGAAAAGAGCTGTTTGCTTCTTTCTAGGTTTGTTTTAAGTGCTTCCTTTTGATGCTCATTCACTCGAAGGGCTTGGAGTGAACCTTTGTTATGACGTCATTGTGGCCTTTTCCTTGATCATTTTGCAACTAAATCTTTGTCAATAAGATACGCTTGAAATTGAAAATTCTTGTGTCATGAGAGCCGCCAACCTCTGAAAATCGTTCTTTTGATTCAATATTTGAATTCATGCTTGGAAAAGGAACTCGAAAGTATGTAAACCTGTAGAATTGCTCTCGAAATTGCCTTCTGTCTAGCGAAAGGCTGAGGGATTTGATTAGGGAAAAGTGGAAGTTGTGATGACAGATATTTTGCAGGCAGAAGCAGCTGTACAATCAAATTGTTTGTGGGGAATTAACACGAGTAAATACAAATATCACATTCGTTTGGTATTGCTCGATTTCTTATTAATGTTTCTGTTTAAGCCATAAACCGGAACAAGGAACTCTGTATCCCTCCTCATCTATAAGGATAACTATGTTTATTCAGCCAATTTATGATTTTATTCTTTGTGTATGCCTCAATTTGGAGGACAGAAATTTAGCTACACGATTCCAGCAGATGCGAGTCCAGTTTTAAAGATGATTGTTAGAATACTCCAACATCCAAGCCACTTTTGGTGGGCACGCCCTAAAAGTTTAGCATCTTTGGGTTTATTTCTACTCTTCAAGTCGTTGTTAACCATATCTGCTAAAATCTGATACCTGTGATTTATCTGGAGTCTGTTTGCAAGCACATTTTCTGTGATGTTCTTTACATTCTGTGGTCATAAACGTCTTCTGTGATCAAAAACGTCTTGCTTTCTTACCATGTCACTTGCCACAGACAGTCGCAACACATAACGTATCTCAAGAATGTTTCTGTTGTATTTGCATTCTTTTGAGCTCGATGGGAATTTAGGAATATAACTCATCGTGTAATTTGTGCACTAAGACCTGCGTATTTTATAAAGAAAGTATCCTCTTTGGGTATTGATGGGATATTGAAGGCATATTGAATGCATCTTGCTTTCCTTTTTTTAACTTACTTGAGTCGTATTCTTTTGTCGTGGAAGTCTATTAGGCTTCTATTTCGATATGCATGTGGCAAGATATAAGCCGGGCGAACTAAATAATTCAAATAATATTAAAATCATTCAGTTGAACCTAGGTTTCCCTTGTCAAACTACAGCTTATTGGCATTTGAAACGTGGACATGCAAACCGCTCGGATTGACAAGTTAAAGAAAATGTTGATATGAATTTAAACGATGTTGCCTCTAACTTCAGTTTCCCCTTCAGTCTTTTCTAGGGGTCACCCCGAGTACTGTGTTACTGAGAATTTATTGATGCAAAATCTAGAATTGAAGTTTAAGAAATTAAGCTTTGAAAATGCTGACTGTCCTGTTGCTAGAAAAGACATAATGCACAGAATTTTGTGATACTTAATTTACCTACATGCTTGCTCTTTCTTTCATTCGGCTTAATTGACTATTTATCTCATTATTACTAGGTTGAAATTGCAGCTTTTAGGGCTTTAAAGTATCACAAAACCTGTTCAGCGTTATATTTGTCACACTTTTCCGAGCGTTTTCATGTTGTTGTAAAATTGACTCAATACCGTAGCTGAAATGCTGATTTGTTTAGTTTCAGGACTCATTCCCAATTAAAGTCATTGTCCCGGATAAACCTAGAGAATTTAGCAGCAATGGTAACAATGGCGAGTTTCTAGACGAGGTAGAGGTGAGTGTTGCCTGAATGTAACTATTTATTCAGGACAAGTTGATTAATACTTTTTGCCATCCACATTTTGCCAGTTGATGTTTCTGTCAATTTTCATTGTTGTCAATTGTTAAATATTTTTACATTTATCTAGTAGTCATTTGGTCTGCAAAATAACAGTGTCGAGTTTCTCTGATGCATAAGTATAGGAAGTTTTGCGAAAAGAAGGTACGTGTAAGCAAAAAGGACCCTATTGTAAGCAAGTAAATTGGGTATTTACTCTTGTTTCTGAATAATGGGGGGGGGGGCACTTGCCGTCTGTGTCCTTGGGTTCTTTGTCTATTATCTATGCTTTTAAGTCAACTAGAGTTCTAATGCATTACCTGGAAGTTTAACTTGTCCTTTTACAGAACGAAATACAAAGTGTGTAGCTATTGGTAGAGATACTTTATTGCATCTCAGAATTATTTGGTTGCAATTATTCGTTGGTAGTGTTCTTGTTTTGTTCCAGTGCCAGTTCAATTTTTGTTTTATGTTTGATGTTTAGAGCTTTTCAGATGGATTGGACATTTTTACTTTTTTTGATCATTCGTTTTTTCGGTAAACAATGTTTTTAGAAGTGTTTTGTAGTTCATGTTTGTTGAATGGGATCTGTTTCCAGAATGTTTATGTTTCAAGTTCCCTGCTTTGGGAGTTTCATTTTCGTTTCGTGGCTATGCAAAATCACTTGTTTCATTTATATGTTCGTTTTTCCTTTATTTTTGCTCTTGTGAAAGCATATATTCCCTAATCTTTGAGACTTGTGTTTATTTTTATCTATTTAATTGTCTTTTTCTAACGTTTAGTGTTTATGAAGAAAAATGTGTTTGGGAATGAGATTCAGCATATCTTAATTAATTTTTTTTAGGACGAGGACGTCTATGAGAAGTTTTTACTTGGTTTGGATATACAGACAGAAAACAAGGAGGAAAACGATAAGCGTAAGAATCTCATTGGCTCATAGTTGATTTACCCGGACATGATTGGTTGCTTGCTGCTTAGCAACACCAGTATGTCATATAATCGACTTACCGTATTTCTTTGCTTGTTTGCCGCGGCTTATAATATATTCGGCGGGTTTACAATGAAGAGCACCGCGTCTTTTTTCCTACTGAGAATTTCCCTATGTTTTTTTCATTTCGAATTAAAATTTCGCCAATGTCATCACAATGAACGATCCAGCTAGGATTTCCTGCGTTGGTTAGTGTGGAGCTAAACTAGTGAGGCAGTTGATGATGAGAATAAGAAAGAATAACATAACAACTTTGACAATGATAAGTTTGGCGATAAGGGAGAAATCTTTTCGAATCCTAAAGATTATAGATTATCGATTTTGGAATGCATTGTCTGAATCTGCTCTTTAGATATTAAACTTTCGATTTATATTCTGACGCTGAAGTGGTTTAGAATTGAATTTTTTTGGGCGGCCAATAAACAACGGCGGCTTACAATCAAAGAAATATGGTATGAATATAGTAAATAGGCCATTGAAATCATTTTGTGCTAACTACTTGCTATTGAACAATTGCTGTCAGACGTGAATATTCTTTTTTACAGCTGCTGCTTACAGTTGATATTATATATCATGATAATTTTAATATAAAACGCACAAAAGTAGATACTCAACGTATAATCGTATTTGGTTAGCAGTCCGGTTGGTTTTCTGAAAAAACTTTATTTGTATGGGTATTCGCTGGATTGGTGATTCTGAAAATAATATCTGAGAAAGGGATAGACTAAGGACCTTTGTGTCTGTTCTTGGCCGGTTTCGTGTTTGGTTTCATTTCGATTTTTAACATTTTATAAAGATATTTGTGTCTGTTCTTGGCCGGTTTCGTGTTTAGTTTCATTTCAATTTTTAACCTTTCATAAGGACCTTTGTGACTGTACTTAGCCGGTTTCGCGTTTAGTTTCATTTCGATTTTTAACATTTTATAAAGATATTTGTGTCTGTTCTTGGCCGGTTTCGTGTTTAGTTTCATTTCAATTTTTAACCTTTCATAAGGACCTTTGTGACTGTACTTAGCCGGTTTCGCGTTTAGTTTCATTTCGATTTTTAACATTTTATAAAGATATTTGTGTCTGTTCTTGGCCGGTTTCGTGTTTAGTTTCATTTCAATTTTTAACCTTTCATAAGGACCTTTGTGACTGTACTTAGCCGGTTTCGCGTTTAGTTTCATTTCGATTTTTAACATTTTATAAAGATATTTGTGTCTGTTCTTGGCCGGTTTCGTGTTTAGTTTCATTTCAATTTTTAACCTTTCATAAGGACCTTTGTGACTGTACTTAGCCGGTTTCGCGTTTAGTTTCATTTCGATTTTTAACATTTTATAAAGATATTTGTGTCTGTTCTTGGCCGGTTTCGTGTTTAGTTTCATTTCAATTTTTAACCTTTCATAAGGACCTTTGTGACTGTACTTAGCCGGTTTCGCGTTTAGTTTCATTTCGATTTTTAACATTTTATAAAGATATTTGTGTCTGTTCTTGGCCGGTTTCGTGTTTAGTTTCATTTCAATTTTTAACCTTTCATAAGGACCTTTGTGACTGTACTTAGCCGGTTTCGCGTTTAGTTTCATTTCGATTTTTAACATTTTATAAAGATATTTGTGTCTGTTCTTGGCCGGTTTCGTGTTTAGTTTCATTTCAATTTTTAACCTTTCATAAGGACCTTTGTGACTGTACTTAGCCGGTTTCGCGTTTAGTTTCATTTCGATTTTTAACATTTTATAAAGATATTTGTGACTGTTCTTGGCCGGTTTCGTGTTTAGTCTCATTTCGGTCTGTACATTTGCATATGTTGACAGAATTGACGAGAAAATGGGATGTGGAAAAGCTTAAATTAAGCTGAGTGGATAATTTCTTATAAATGAAGCGGAACGGCTTAGTTAAACCTTGTTTTTAATCAAGTGTGAATGCGATTGTTATCCTCTTGCTTGAAAATACCCTGAATATAAACTTCAAGATATATACAGTTATGTTTCCCACCCCTTTCACTTTTTCATACCTTTATTAATATTATACTGCTGATTTTTTCTTGGTCCACTATCACGAGAAACTTCAATACTTTTACCAATATCCTAAGATGCTCGTTATTTTTGCCATGGGTATCTTCTCCTTGTAATATCCCTCAGTGACGTTTTTGTAGTTTAAAAGAACTAAAATTCCTACGATAAATGCAAGACAGAGGAAACTAAAAACTTTTTTGGTGGTCATTAGTAATTAATGGATGAATGAAACGTACTGAAAAGGCTTTTTAACTCCCTTTTCTCACGATATAAACGGGATTGTACAACCTCATCCTAAAATTCTAGAAATAGGAACATTAATGACTGATATTTCTAACGACGTTAGAAAAATAAATGTTTTGATTCTTTGTTTGTCAGAAGGAGGACTGACTTCGAATTGCACGCAGGCTAATAAAATGCCACAAAACCTCTAGACTGAAGTTTGGCAATTTGATCCAGCATCAGAAAATTATTAATAAAAGTATAATATTTCATGCTCAATTTGTCTTAAAGCAAGTCTTAAACTGGTGTAAATCGCCAACTCTGCCTATATTGTGATACCGACTGTACAGAGAGTGCGGTTTAAAGATCTTATATATTGCTAAAATGCTGTTGTGGGCTGAAGCTGAAACATTTAGTGTTGTTGCTATTTGCTGCTGCTGCTGTGCCGTACGCTGCTGTTTTTTGAAGGAAATACTTTAAATTTTCATCGGTCCCGATCGACATTTTGTTTTTCTTGTCTTGTTTCTGCCACGCTTTTGAATCCCAACTATATAGACTTTGTAGATAAACGCTGGACTAGGTGGCGTTATTTTAGCGCGAGTATTCGCAGAATTACATATTTTGTTATAGTCTTTATGAAGCTGTTGATTGCTATGTTATATTTACCGTTTTTGCAATCAGTACTCTCACTGCACTGAGACAGATTGAAATGATAGTCAATGAGAATTACCTAGTTTGCCGCGTGTAGTAGCAAAAGGTCTAGTTATACTTCAAACTGCACGAATTGCATTACGGGTTTTCTTTACAATCAAAGGAAATGCTCTCAAACCCGACAGGAATCTTTCCTTTCACCAAGCGTTATGGCACTTCTCCAGTTGTTCTCACTGAAATTTCATGAAACCATATTCTGAAATAGTACTTTTGTGCAAAGTTATGCAGTACATTCAAGCGTTTTTTCGTTAAAAACCAATGTTTATTGTCATTGTATGCAAACTTCTTAGAAAAAAAATTCAAGCTCTATTTTTCAGTTTTTTCAAGAAATTGCCATCGGCCTTGAATAGGCGAAGGTCGTGATAAATTGCATTATAAATGGGATTTGAGTTTAGACTGACATTGACGCCTGCTTTCTTCTTTGGCAAAAAAAGATGCTAGCTAGGGTTTTCAAAAGCAAATTCGCTCTGAGCATCAAGTAAATATAGGCAAATTTACTATTTTTGTTGTAAAGAATTTATGTATTCTCGATGGTTCAATTATTTCGGCGTCTTCTTTCCACTGAGTTCCCTGCCCCACGTTGGGCGCCATATGTTGTAAAGATTATATGTATCTTTCTGGATTCTCAGGGCAGAGTAGATGAAGACACCATGATGACCTTTTATATTTATATGCAATATTTACTAAGGCCTAATTATGACTAACCGGTTGATGATTACTTGACAAATTCGCGAGTTACCCCTTACCACTCCACTGGCCTACGCCAGGAAGTGGCTATCTCTTATATATATATCCTTTCTACTGGAGCTCCTTCTCGTAACTAACTACAATTCTTGCTGCAGTACCTACTACGCCCATATGTGTGTGTTTCCGTTATAACCTTATATGGCATAATGACCTTTGCACTTACCACGTGCTACTTTTCTCTTAATTGCACGTGTAATACCAAAACTTAACTTCACAACAATTTTATGGTATTGTATGCTACAACTCTTCTAACAGCAACCCAAGGACTAAGTCTGGACCAAGAAATATCAAGCTCCAACGCGGATACAATGGCCGATGACCCTAGGGTACTGTCACCGGAGCTTCATAACACAGATGATATGGATTCCAAGCCAGCAGATTCAAGCTATGCTGAATTCCAAACCGATGTCACTCTTCCTTCCAGTGTCAATTCTGAAGGCAAGCTTAGACAGTTCCCTTTTAGGCCTTTTGAGTTTTTTCTTTAGGCTCGAGGCACTGATTGGTCAACTATATCGGTCTTGTGCTTGCTTTTTTCTGATTGGCCTATTTCGATCCACAACTGGGTATATATTTTTCATCGTGTTCTTTCGGAACCTTATTCTGAAGTTTTATGGTCTGAGGAGTGCCAGACGAAAAAGCTTTTAGTATGTTGTAAAATGTTTGTTTTTTTTCAAAAGCCATTTTCCTTTTGAGTTAATTAACACGCATAGAAGATTTGATTTTATCATTATTTTTTTAGTATCCTGTAACATCCATTTGAACCTCTTTTGCTTTTCTGGTTGATTCACACTGTTTCCTTGCTATAAAAATACTTTTTGTTGCATTTGTACGAGTTCATTGTTTTAGTTTCATCAATTTGAGAGTTAAAGAAAACCTCATAACTTTCAAAACCAAAACGAAAAAAAACTCTTCCAAATTGATTACATTATTTCAGAGCCAATTTACAAAACAATTGCTAAATGATTTTCAAAAAGGAATATAGATTGCGATTCGTTACTTTTCTAGTTTTAAAGTTATTTGTGACTTCCCCCAGTAAGTAGGGGACCGTTTTGTAGGATTAAACGATTCAAATTTTCAATTTTCAGATGCCTATCGCATAACCTATGTGAGCAATGAGGATTTCGACGACAATGTGGATCATTTACGTCAATCAAGGAATAAAGAGCGATCTCTCAGCCTAGATTCCTTCGATAGGTTTTGCAGAAGTGGCTCTACCAATAAAGACGATCGTGACAAGTCCAGAGGTGCATATGATGAGGACGACGAGGACGATGACGAATTTGTTAGGAGAGAGCTTGATAGGCCATCACCACCAGCTGATGCTGTCACGGGTAACTTGCTACCATCATTTTTTTATATAACATGTTAGTTATAATGTTTTTGTTACGATCCTACCAAGTGTTAAGAACAGAAAAAAACCACCTTAACCTGAGCCAGAGGTTGGAAACAGATTCTAAATTTGAATTTTTGCAACACAGAATGCCAATTAGTTTTTTTTTAGAAGCAATTAGTTTATTGGTAGATAGATGAGCAAAGTAGCTTGACATTTTTCAAGCCGTCGTGGACATCTCTTGGCATCACTAAAATTCTTGCCAAAAGTTCCTAAGCTGTTTAGTCAATTTTCAGTCTATTCTCATTTTACGTCTATATAAAAAGCCGAGTTACCCCTTTCCTCCCTAAATCAAAGTTGGAAAAGCACCTCAGCCACCATAGTTTCTAAAATACAGAATACCTACTTTGGAAGTGTATTTCTATGAAGAATAATCCAACATTGTTTGAAATGGGAGAGGGGGACAGCTAATTCAAATGACATTAATGTTGTTGTTGTTAAAAGATTTTCGGCAAGAGTTGTAGCTTTGGTGTACATGCTGTAGAAGACAGGCATATGATATAGCAAAAATGATCATAAATAATCAGAAAGTGAATAATAAGAATTGGCTTGAAAAATTAAATTCTTAGAGTCTAGTTAAGGCTCAAAGATCTAACAGTCTAATACATTAGCTATTGAAACAAGCATATTTAAGCACATTGCAAGGAATAATTTTTACGATGCATGATGACAAAACAGTCTTTTCAGCCTTGCTGTCTTTCATCGAAAATTAATAGTTTACATAAAGTTAGTGAAAAGGTCACTTTTTCAGTTTAACTGTTCATCAATTCTACATAACTAGTTTGAGAGTTAAACTGGAAAGCTGTTTATGTGACTTCTTTCGTGTTTTTACTCGCTTATGCATGCATGCAGCCTACGCAAATGCTAACGAAACAAGCATAAAACAGTACAAAATAACAGTTATGTTGAGTTTACAGCTAATTTTTTTATCGTTATTTTGCGAAAACTGGAATCCAAAATGGCAAAACTGCACCAATTATCGAAAAACACATGTTTTATCCACAATTCAGGTTTCCATATCGCTATTGGAAATAAACTTTTGCAATTATGGTAGCTTTTTTATAAATAATTAAACGAGCTGTTTTCCACATTTATGTATTTTCCCAATCAAAGTCTGTTTTTTCCAAATTTTTGTGAATATGAAATATGTTTAGCTAAATACTAAAAGCGGTGAATCTGTCTTTTCTCACAAGTGATTTTACAGAAACCCATAGATATGCAAAAACGTACGTATTCGCCTTTAATGCCAAAAGAAGTGTTTGTGAAGCCCAACACTTGTGCGGCTTAGCAGCAAAACAATTTTCTTTAGAGCTCAGAAGCCTTATGAATTAAGTACATTTATTTTTTCGAAAAGAGTTAAAATTCGCACTGATATATTGTTGTTCTGCTTCCATGATTTAAATAAACATTTATAAGACTTAAGAATACTCAGTTCTCTCACAAACCAAGCATCCAAGCCAAGCGTTTTCACGGTCATTTATCTGTGGAAATCATCGCTCGCAGCTTGCCTAGATTGTGTGGGATACATTTGATCACTCGATGGAATTATATCGATAGATTTTAGTAGACTTCCTTGCTGGCATAGCCTCGAAGTAGGCAAAAACTGGAATTAGAAACAACATGACGTAAAACGACTAGTAAAATCGTAGAACTTCTGTTGATGTTTTTTTGGGGCTAGCTATATGAATGATGAATGTGTCTTATTCGTTGACTTCCTTTTTTGACTGCATTTGTTTTGATTGCCCACCTCTCTTGACAAATAAAGATTTCATTGGAAGGTACAAGTATTTGGTCAACAGTGCCAATTTGTGTACACAGCTGGAAGCTTTATTTCAGTTCTGTAGATTTTCCAGACACCCATCCGAGGATTTTAATTGGATTTCCATTTGAAATCGAATTAAGCAATACTGCTATAGCTTTGTAAATCTTGTTAATGTAAGTTGTACCGTTGAGGCTCCGGTTGTTTGTTAAACATTTACAATACCTAAACCTTTTGATTTTCAAGGAGCATTTAAGGCTGATCGTTCAAAAAGCTTGTGGCAACTGCTTAGTCATGACAGATCTAAACAACTTTCCGCCTCCCCCCTTCCCTATCCCTCCCATTACCCTCCTTGATAAAATGCTGGATGCTTTATTTGCGCAACTTAGGTCCGTCCTGTTCCACGCAATAAATTTTGTTCGGAATATATGCCCTACATTTGGAAATTTGAATCATGTCGTTACGTGCTCAGCTCTGTCACTTTTTGTCAATACTAAACTGGACAACTCCAGAGTGGAGGCGAGGGTCTCACATACTACCAGCAAAAAGAACTGGTCGATTGACGACAGAATTATAAAAATAAATCGCACCCCACGCTGGGCGCCAAATATATCTTTAAATATATGAAGTCTTGATGTAGCTTTATGTTATGTGATCATTTCATCCACTCTTGTATACAAACGTTTGCCCAGATTTCGATTCTCCACATAAAGGTTGCTTATATACTATATAGGCTTAAATTTAAGAAATTCTTGTGTGACTTGGGGTTATGATTTAGTCATGATGTAGTTATATCTGTAGTTATGATGCTTTTTGCATTCACCGTTTTTATTCCTGCTACTTTATGATCCATCACTACGAACATTTATTTATGAAATGAAGAAATTTGAAAAGACCTCATACAGATATTTTTCTTCCAGATGACTCATTTCATACCGCAAGAAGCCTAGAATTATCCTCAGATGCGATTGGCACGTCACCGATGAGTGAACAGTTACCGAAAGACAGCGTCGATAAAGTACTTACCGCGCGATACGATACCACTGCAGGTAAATTGCCACTTGAAACTCAGCCTTTGACGTTTATTCTTTCATTTTTCTTGAGAACCCCTTCCTTGCCTAAAGCTGAATTGCATCAGACCCAGAAATCATTTATTCAAAACGCCTTTAATTCTTTTTATTACTTCATTTGATTAAACGTCTTTCTTTTCGTCTGCCGAATGATTAATGGAATTTGCTGACACAAATCGTATTTGGAGGAAAGGAGACACTTCCGCATAGACCCTCATTCATTGCATCCCTTTGAGAACATACACATATTAACTTTAAGCGCTGAAGCTTTTAGACTTTGAAAGCATTATTAAATTTTTGAATTCTTTTTGATCGCTTGTAAAGACACCCTGTATTATAAATACAATAGCTACAGCTTTCTTTCTTGATTTCATGAAGTCATCGAACGTAGAGGCCTGCTAGGCGATTGCTCGGCTGGTAATAAGGCACACCCACAGGTCTTTGTGTCACGTAATAGTCTGTGCAGTGGTACTTCTGCAACTAAGCAACAAACACAAACAAGCACAGCGTCGTTGAATGCAATTTTGAATCAAACTTTTTCTGTCTACACAATAGTGGCTTTTTCATGTTGACGTAGATAGAAAAAACCGCTACTGTGTAGACAAAAGGAGTTCGTTTTCACCTTAGGACTCCATTGGTAACATTCTCAATAGGCAAGCGGCACTGATTGGGCAGCCTCAACAGTCGTGTGCTCGCGCTTCTGATGGGCTTTTTTCTATCCACAACCCTATATACATATTTCCTAGCGTAAATTTTTCTATTAATGTTCTGGCGTTTCATATTCTCCGGAGAGTGTCATACAAGAAGCTTTGTTAACGTGTTTCAAAACGTTTACTTTTTTAAAGCACTTTTGAATGCTGTACCACAAAAAGATTTTTGCAAATATAAATTTTTTACAACCCGGAGTAAAGAACGGCCGATAATAGCCGTTGATGGAATATCCTGTGGTGTAGATCGAAAATAACTTGAGAGAAATTATTGCGCGTTTAATATCTTAATTTTTGTCCATTCTGCGACCTCCAATCTCTCAGAAAATTGAAAGTCCAAAAGGACGTTTTTTGCGAACCCATTTTCAGTAAGCATCTGCTAAGTTCTATCGAAACTCACTTTTTTGGAGCAAATAATTTGTGCCTCGTGTATTATAATTTTGACGAGACATGACTGAACGTTTTAACGAAATATCCAGCATATCTTTCTTCTTACATATTTTGTTTTTCAACTTTGCTCATATTTTGCTGATAGATATGTTGAGTTGGAAATATTCTCATATCGAATTAACAATCACATAAACTCATACCGCATCGTAAGCTTAAATTGTTTTACAAATGTCATACATATTTCTTGAGTTGATTAAATAAATCATATCGGATTGTTGTTTTTGATCAAAAGCCCACTCTTATGATGCAGGAATTTTACTCCCAACGCTTCCTAGAAGGCCTAACTTTGCAGATTCTTGTGGAATGTACCGTGACCTCAGGTGAAAAGAGATTTGTATATTTTTTGGATGCAGCTCATAAAATTTGAAGCTTTTGCTGCATTTTTATTCGATCGATAATACATCTCAACGCTTTAGAGTCATATTTCTGTACCACATGCTTTTTTAATATGCCGAATCAATGCGATAAAAAGGAAACAGTTAACATTGCGTGTTAAAACCTAGTTTTAGATTGCTTCGTCTGAATTATGTTACTAGACAAAACCATCTAGTTTCGTAATTATCTGGAAAATTTAGGTACTATTTAGTATTCATCCAGTATATAGGAAAACTTACAACTTGCGTGGTAACAGAGCTCTTTTAGTTGAGCGTTGCTGACACTAATTTTGTTCAAAAAGGCTCTATAAGTCTGAGCTTTATGCAAAATTTCTTTCTAGAGGACATGAATTAGGTACAATACTGATTTCATTTTGTTTTCGTCAAAAATGAATATTCTGTTTATATTCTAGAATTGACAAAAATGTCTTTAGTTTTACTGTCATTGTAAATCTCTGAGTAGAACTTTCACCAGACTACTTTAGTTTCAATTCATAATTCTTTAAATTGACGCAGTGATAGGTGAAGTGATTTCAAATTCATATCCTGGTTGTATTCTAGCATTGACAAAAATGTCTTAGTTCTACTATCTTTGGAAATCTTTGAGAAATCTACAGAGGCTTTTAGAAAGGTATTCTTTCGTAATCTTTATTTTTGCTTTTTGTGCTAAGATATTTAATATCAGATTTCTTCAGCCAGCTTGCAATTTTTTTTCTATAGGTTTTTTTTCACTTATCGTTAACCATGTTATTGTCCATTTTCCTTCCATTACTTGTAGAATTTGCAAATATTGATAATATTTAGTTATATTACAACAATATTTGAAGGTATCACGGAAAAGCTGAAGTGTACTAAAGTAATTTTCGCCGTTAGAGTAAAAAAAAGAAACAAATCAAATTTGCCATTCTTACTCTCACATTTCTTTGATCCTACCTTTGGTGATTATCCGATGTTTAAACTCCGAAGAATGTCGGTTAGAAAATAACTTTAATATGCTAGGTTTCCGCAAATTGATACATAACACTGATCAATCTTTTGTAATTTTTGCCGTTGGTTTTTGTTGCAGATTTTTCAAGTGTACGTTGGGTATCTATTTGGCATTCGAAAGCAGCTTACTTTGTTGATTACAAATATCAATGCTTATTTGCCACTCTTTTTTCCTAAATATTTTGTAATTTTTGCCGTTGGTTTTTGTTGCAGATTTTTCAAGTGTACGTTGGGTATCTATTTGGCATTCGAAAGCAGCTTACTTTGTTGATTACAAATATCAATATCTATTTGCTGACTCCAACTGGTAATGTATAACAATATCCTCCCGCTAGATCTTACGATACAATTTCTTTGACCGTTCATGCGGACTCTTGACAATCTATTTATAATTGAATCAGAGTTGAGAAAAGACCTCAAACTTCCCCCGGATGAAATTTTCCTCTATTTCCTCCAAATTTTCTTTGTATCTTTTGAATAAATGTTTCTTAGAAATGGAATTTAAGTAGAATCATCTATGGTTTGGTCTTTAAGCTTTGTCAGGAAAAGAAGTTAAGCACAACGGTAAATTCTTTTACTTTATAAACTCTTGTCAAGTTATGTTTTGGCCTACCTCAAATATACTACCTCGTTGAATAACCCTCCATCGGCTAACAGCCATAGAACTGTTATGTTTTTTGGACCTAAAACTGGATATTTTATGTTCAGTAAACTCGACCACTTAGGCTCGTCTTCTATATTGTAACCATTAAGAGAGACATTCTCTATGCTTCAGCATATCAATCTTTGTATAATATCCAAGTGTCAATAATCTTTTCCCTGATTTGCACTATTTCACCGTGGACATTTTTTTAATATTTAGTTAGTAGTTATACATCACCCCCATCATCATCATCATCATGCTATTACACTTTGGTGTTGTCAGCCAGCAGTATCTTTTGCCTTGTTTTCCCACCTTTTCTGACCACCATTCTAGCTGTTAATCTCTTATCCAGGCTGTTGCTTTGAATATATGCTCAATAAAAGCAATTTTTATTTCATTTATTGTTTAAAGCATTCTGCAACTAACTCTTCTTGCCATTTGTTTTCTACCTAGTAAAACATCCGCATGATAAAAGACAAAACTCGCCCAAATTTTGCCTGAGTTAAGTTAAACGACCGGTTTTATAAATAACCTTCAGTTCACTGCGGTTCTCGCACGAGCTTCGAGTCTCGCATTTTGATTGGATGGTTATCACATCTATATTTGGCAAACCTGAATCGCTTTGAGATCTCAACTTTTAACTCAGGTCATTCACTTTAAGTGTTTTTCGACCCGAGCAATGTTGTCTGTAATTTCAAAACGAACTCTAGAAACATTCTTCACTTTTTGCAGAAGCTAAAGATTCTGGTTTCAGTAAGGAACTTTCGATTCCTATTGACAGCGTCAATCGCATTCAGGTGCGTTTAACACTCGCCATTTCTGTTGTCTTTTCTCTCTGTTTTTGACAGAATTTCAAATTTTTCAGTAAATTTTTTTTACTTGGTGTAAGGCAAATTTGAGTACTTTGTAGACGGGTCGATCAGAACGATACTAACATTTGCAAAAAAAGCTCTTTTCTGCAACAATCGTTAATATTTTTTGAAGTTTAAGCCATTTTGCATTTTGCTGAGTAACTTGACATTAATTTAGAAATTATCATCCAACCAGTCATACTCTTATAATGTTTACCAAAAAAGTTTTAAATTTTCAGAAGAAGGGATGGAGTTGGACCAATATTTTCGGGTTGGCAAACAGTTCAAAATTCCCAAGAAAACTTCAGTATTACCTGAAAAAGCATCAGTTATGTCCAAATCATACTGAACTGCCCAAAGTTCCGAAAATTTTCATCTTCCTTGGTCACTTGCTCGAAAGGCATGGGAGCTTTCGTTTGATTCTTTCCTCTTAAGGTTATTTTCTGCCTTCTAAGGTATTGCTGGTTGTCGCCTAGCAGCTACTTCGGTTTATGACCCAAGCAATTTCATATGTCGTTTTAGTCTGGAGTCAATATGCAAGATGTTCTTATCACTCACGATGAAGGAAAGTTGCAACTGTGGACTGGCAATGAAATCATTACTAAGTATGTGTAATTTCAAGAGTAGAGTTTGAGAGCGATTATGAATATGATTGGCATGGTTTGGTAAAAATGATATAGGGAAAGGAAGCCATTCTCTAACAAGATTTGACGATTCCATGCAGATTGTTTGAATTTTCACTGGTCTCTTACATTTTGTCAAGACTACTATATTTTTAAGGATTAATTGGCGATTCCTGTATTTTGTTCGGTGTGGTTATCAAGTTATTTATTGACTTCTATGCTGTTATAAAGCTCCAGAAGATTTGTCAGAAGATTTACTTTTCCTTCAATATTTCTGCGAAAGGCATTTTTTAAAAAGTTCGTTTCGAGGAAGCTCATTTTCTTAGATTAAAGTCAGATTTTGGTTTGCAATTGCATGTTCTGTTTTCAGAAATATTATTCTTGCACTGTCATCAAGTTTAACAGCACAGAACGCAAGAACGGTGTCCGTTGAACAAATGAAAGTTGACTTCCACAGAAACCTGGACCTCAAAATAAAAGACTGGTTACTTTACATTGAGAATGTCGAGGTAATCAAATTAATTTTGTGCTGTTAGTGACGATTCACCAATAAGTAAAGGAACTTTATAATGTCGACGGAGCAGCGCTTTTTTTATTGATTACAGCAGACGAAGCTTTAAAATGAGCCAAAATATTGATAATTTAGTGTTCTTTATCTCCGAGTTAAACATTAAAGACACTAACCACTTGTACGGTTTTTTTCACTCATGTCCTCAGTTTCAATAGCCCCTATATCTAACTTCAAAAAGTTCTTCGAAGTTATTTGCAGTCTCAATATAGTGGCGAATGTATGACGTCATAAAATGGATTTTAGAATTTGGAACACATTATGAAACACAGAGCACAGTTAAGTACCTGTAAATGAGCATGATAAGTTATGGCCAGCAAAAGCTATATTGGTGTATATAATGCTAAGTGGTTTTTGTGGTTTTTGTTGTTTTTATCTGGTTCATAAATCTCGAACCACAGTGATTTGATTGACAAGACACTGAGCTCATGTGTCATATCTTGGCAAATTTGGAACAGATTATTCACCTAGCTTGTTTTGCATATTTAGAGTTATTTATAGTGTTCATTCAGGTTATGTGGCCAAATTGAAACATTCTGTGGATACATTATTATTGCGTCTTCACTATAAAGGTATTGCTGGCAAAGTAATTGGTGACGTCATTGTTGTACTCATTGTCTGCATTAGAATGCTTAAGGACAGTAAGGACGTTGAAGTCAATTGATTGGCCTTAACAATGTGTGTATCTTCCTCTTAGGAAAGCGAGCTGCTTCATTTTGCGCTGGTGGACTTCCACTCAATAAGTTCTCAAACGGCAGATGTAAAAGGTGCATTGCACTTACCCGATTTGGAGATATTCTATGTATTTTGTATACGATGTTTTTGTCATGTTGCTACTTTTTGTTTGGCTGGTTTTGACTGGATAACGAGTCGTGAATGCTTTTCTGTTAACGAAACTGTGGTACACAGTCTGCGTTTCTATTTAAATCACTATGCTGCGTGATAGTATGTGAAGTGAGTATATATGTGAATTGTTCATGTAGTAATGTTTGTTGATAATCTTGTCTTTTTTAAGTTCTCAAATCTGGTCTGTTGCAAAGAAAAACAAGCTATCTTGGTGTAGTTCCACACTGGGAAGCTTCGATTTTTGGACTGAGGTGGGTCGCTCACACTATTACCTGAATCCATCGACCCTTATACTTTTGAATTTCTTTTGCTTTGTCGGTAATAACGTAAATCAGAACATGAAAGAATCCATTGCATTTATCGATTTATCGAATTTTCTACGATGTTTCGAATAGTTTGCAAAATTCCGTTGTTTGATTTCTAGAGGCCCATCTTTGTACGAGTATTACTCCAAGGTGAGTTTTCAAAAGTTTGATTACATCACATAGAGGTGCCTTTTTATAAACATACGGAAATTTTTAGTCTATCTACTAGCACCTAACCTAACCTCCCCCATCATTTCTGTATAAATATTTCTGTATCATTTCTGTATCTACTGAAGGAACACACAGTGTATCTTTTTTAAACAAGATTCGTTTCTTATCAAAAATACACACCTTTCCTTATATTTTAGGCTTCAAAATGAAACCCATTCTCTAAACCAATGACTGCTAATTGTATTGGCATAGAATCAAATAACACATTCCCTAATCCTTTAACGTTTAAAATCTTTTGACCAAATTCCGACAAAGCTTTATTACTACATCGTAGGGGAATCATGAATTAAAACAAGTTTTTGATCTACGGTTAGTACCTTCCAAGTAATTTCAATGTTTTTCTTCTAGAAAACCTGTTTATTTCATTCTATCATCGATCGATATCATTCGATGTATAGTCTCGCTTGTGATAGTCTCTTTAAACATTTTTGTTCGGGAGACGAAGCCTTCAGTCCTTTGTTTTGAAACAATACCGTCTTTAACCAATCAGTGTTGCAGGGTCATAGCTCATGCGCATTAATAACATTCGCACAGCTGTTCTATCTTGGATCACAAAACTCTTGAAATTCTCGCCAGGGCTTCTAATGCGCATGTGCAATGACCCTGAAACAGGGGCTAGTGCATGTCTGGAAGACGAGCGTGATTAATCGCCCCTAACAAAAACTAAAAACCTGCCCATTCCTCTTTTCCTAAAAATGTTGTTTGTTGTTGTAGAAATAAGTGCGGAGGTTGTGTTAGGACGAAACCATCAGAAAAGGTTCATGGCTTCAAGGTTGGTTTTATGAAACACATAGGTTTGATTGTATTACATGTTAAACCATTAATACTGTCTGACATGTATATATCGTGTTTTTAGGGTATGTAACAACGCCTGAAATATTCTTTGAATAGATTATTATCGATTGTGATTCCGAAAATTAATGGAAATAAATACACCTCAAATGCCGAAATATAGAGAGAAGTTTGAATAGAGAGAGAATGCACTGCTTGTTTCAGCACTGGATAATTTTAAACGTTGAAATATGTTTCTTTGTTTTATTCCGATGAATCCCATCAGAATCAAATGTTTCATGTTTGTATGCTAGTTACTTTAAATCATGTCTATACATCTTTATAAATACATGTACAGCTCTGCCTATACGGTGTCGAGCACTTTATGACAGCCCGGTAAACGGTAATTTTCATTATCAATATATCAATATCACACTTGATAACAATTTGCAGTATTTTCACACTTATTTCCAAGGTTCTTAGCACCGATGGCTCAACCCCTCTGCTAGAATTGGCTGCTTCCTCTGAAGAAGATGCTAATGATTGGATTGTAAACATCTGCCAAGTTGTAGCAGATTCGGTATGAGGCTTTACTGGTTTTTCTCTATGATGCTTTACTGGGTTTAGCTATTAAGGTTGTTTGCCAAGGGTCTTTAGTTCCAGACAACCCGTATAAGCAGCACCAGCCTCAACTGGAGCGCTGGTAGCTTGATCCTTCTATCTGACAATCTTATTGAGTTCCGATTGGGTAAGATAAAGAAATGATGGCTCATTTGATATCGACTAAGTGCTGCAGTAAACAAATATACTGTAAGAAATAGGAATTTTGAGACCAAAGCCTCAACTGTTTAGTTTAGTCGTAATAATATCGTTATTCATGCTTATATTTGGAATACAACTGCCTTAATCTTATCATTTTCCTGACCAATATCTCCAAAGGCCTTTGTTGTGTTGCTCCCAAAACTCTTACTTTCGTATTGTGAACGATGCCAACCTCTGAACAAGAAAGGGTTCTCTCGTTCTACATTTTTCTAGGGTTTTTCATCATTTGTCATCTTCCTGTCGATGAACCATTTGATTGTGTTTTTTGTTGAAAATAAAAGGCAGTTCTATTAACATTTTGTCGAATTTGAATTATGTGAACATTTCTACCATCCTAATAGAGTCTTTTTTCGTCAATAGAAGCATGGCCTAGACAGCCAGGTCCGCCCTTTCATTGAAGGTGTTGCTCCTAGAGCTTTGGCTCTCTCGGCTACAAAGGTAAGACATCGTGTAGGCATACAAAAACCCATTTGTAAAATTTTTGAAATTCCTCATTCGATTTAAATATCCTCTCTGACTTGTGGGTAGAGCATGCAGGTTTAACTAAACATTTTTTATATTAAAAAGAACTAGTTACCAAAAGTATTTGCCGGGTTCCAATGGTTTTTGTATCAAGTCTTCAATTCAAGAATGTTTTATGAACCAGTGTCTACTCGGGTTTGGACGTTTATTCAGTCTTGAAATCTTTAACATCCAGCAGACGACACCCGGCTTACAACCATTGAATTCATTTGAAGATGCAAGATTAGATGCAAATCGAAGACTGTTTTGCACTGACAGAGTTAAAGTATTTAGATTATTTCAGGCTCTATTGAATTCTGTTATTCCACTCAAAATACCTTAAATCATTACCTTCAATCAGGTTAAGTTTTTGTTCAACTTAAAAGATCCGGTACAGTAAAAGTGTAAGAAATAGTGTGGTGTATACCCATAAGTAAAAAGGTTGGGTTTATGAAAGGGGCTGTATAGGGCTTGAAAGTATATTTTGAAAGTATATATTACTTTTTGTTTTCGAAATCTGAAACCCATGCACCTAAGCTAATTTCATAAAAAGTATTATTTGATGGTTTTTTTAACCAAGAGAAACAGACGACTCCTATGGTTTGACATATTTTGATAGAAACCCAATCAACTTATGTTGCCATCTTTAATTCATCTATAGGCAGTATTAGTGCATTTTCCTATTATGGATTCTCTGCTGCTAGTCTGGGAATATATTTTGCATTTTGCAGCTTTGATGTCTCGTATTTTCTACCTATAGCTGTACATATTCATCGAAAACTCCAGGACAAAGCGACTGCAGTTAATAGATTCTTGTACAATTCAAGATATCCCGCAAATATGTGTTGACAACGAGGATCGTTCGTTCTGTGCCGTGGTATGCTGCGTTGTTTCCTCGAAAGTATTATGTTTCATTGCTTGTTAACCCAATATATAACAACATAAACTTGAAGGTGCTAGCACATTGGTACCCTCATCCTTCAAAATACCCCAAAGACATTTCTTAATTCTTTCAAACGGCATAACTTCATTTGGCAACTATTTTTGTAATTGTAAGTTCTAGTATATAGATCACAGCACGCTTCTCCCGACTTTCCGAACCATGCAGAAAGACCTTTTTGCCTTTTATATTCAACTCCATATCCAAATGTGATTTTTGTTTTTCTTTGCTACACAATTACAACAACCTACAAATATTTCAGACACAATTATATGATTGTATTGGAGTATGTTTTAGCAACAATACCTTCGTGAAGATATGAAAGTTTTAATCAAGTTAAATTTTTTTTGGCTTCGCAGATAATCTGTCTCTCATTCACTACTTTTGATTTATCAAAATATGCTTTCTTATAGTTTATTTCCCCTCCATTATTCCATTGTCAGTCAAAATATTAAAAAGTCATTTAGCTCCTATTGACTTGGTACATATGATAGTTATTACATTTTAGTATTGTTTTTCCTTTACTTTAGCAAATTGATGATAGTATAGATAGCTATGTGGAAACATCAAAACGAACCTGGGTGTTGAAATTTCACTCTGAATACGAGCTTGGTAAATTTGAACAAAAAATTTTCGCAGTTTGGCATACATTATACCAGGTGAGTGAATATATGAAATCTCTTGAAAACTACGATATATAGATGTTTTTACCTTCATTCTGTTGCTTGTGGTAACTTGAAATTTGATTTATACGTCCCTTTCATCAGATGGTCTTTTTTTCAAAACTGTTTCACAAAGTCTCATTCAGGTGTCACAACGTCCTTTTGTGAAGTGTAGACTATGTTTGTAATGTATGGTGAAGTATCTTTCATTCTGTTATGCGTTTTCATAATCACGTCTGAATTTTGACAGTTTAATTGTAATGAAGAATCCAGATGCAAATCTTATTTTCATTTTAAAAACATTCGGTCTGATATAGTATGTTTGGTAACTTAATAACTTAACCATGTCACCCTGAAAGTCATCAGTCGTTATTGCAGTCGTTATCTTATTAAGTGTCTTGCAGAGTGGCCAATCAAATCTGTTCTGTGCCTGTGGCCAATTAAATCTGCTCTGTGCCTGTTCACTGCAAAATATTAAAGGAAGTGTGTCCTTCTATCTATGGTCCGTAGAGTTGTGGTGGTGCTTGGTCTAAGCTACTCGCGGCACGATTATCTAAGTCAAAACCAATCAAAACACAGAAGTGGCCAATCAAATCTGTTCTGTGCCTGTTCACTGCAAAATATTAAAGGAAGTGTGTCCTTTTCTCTATGGTCCGTAGAGTTGTGGTGGTACTTGGTCTAAGCTACTCACGGCACGATTATCTAAGTCAAAACCAATCAAAACACAGAAAGCTGCATTCGTACCAGTATTTCATTAGCAGTTTCGAAAAACCAGCACGCAGTTGCAATCTTTACTGGCACACAGCCTTGAACAGTGTTAACAGATTCGTAGGATTTCATACCAATGAACTACATTCCATCAAAATAATGAAGGAGGTGGATGTGCAGTAATCCTACCTTCATTTTTTATTTTCCATTGAAACCCTTATTGCATTTTTATTAAGAAATTGCTTCATGATGATCGTCGTCTTTTCCAAGTTGATTTTTACTTTATTCAATGCTGCAATTTTTTCATGTCTAAAGGTTCCACTTCAATTTGTGCTCCTCGCTGACAATGACTTCAAACGCTCTATCAGTGTCTGCCTGGCCACTGCGAAGCACAGCACTGTATCCTCGATCGATGACAGCGCAGCGTCTGTTGCAGCGCTTGCAGAATTTTGAATTGCCAGAATACCACTTAGTTACCACGAATGGCATCAGTTAAGACTAAAGGCTGGCTGGCTGGCTGGCCTGCTAGTGTATGAAGTGTTATCTCGGATACTTTTAGCATTCTGAAGAGCAATGTGATGCACAGATCTAACGTCTATGTGAGTGAACCCGAGGGTTGTCTGACCTGTACGTTGAATAGTAACAAGCTTGACATTGGAACAGCCTTACTTAAATTATATCCTATGAAGAAAGCCTATTGCCTACGAAAAGGAGCTCCTGTTGGAATCCTAAATTTTCTTCCTTTCCTTGCCAAGTAGCTTGTTTGCAGTCATATAAGGTTAACTATGTTGGCCATCTGTGCATGAAAAGGTTTGTATGTCCGAAAAGAAAGATGAAATTTCAAGATTGCAGAGGAATTTTGGTGCTGTTGCGTTGGTCGGTATAATAGAAAAATAAAACGAATTGGTAGAGTTCAGCTGTATCAGTATCAGTTGTAGCAAATACTTGTTTATTTTATGACTTTATGAGTCAGTCTTTCTTTCCTTCCTCTACACAAGATTTCTATACACCAGTAGTTTAATAGTTTTTGCTGCCATATTTTCTATCATATAAAGACTCTTTTTATACTGTGCTAGATAGATTTCATCCGCATAAGACTTGTTTGAATGGCCTTGTATATGCGGTGCCAGATAAATTATATCCATGCCACCATGCACCCCCCCCCCCCCCCGTTTATCTTCTGCCAGATAAGTGACTTATGACAACAATCATGCGTAGAGAAACCAAGGTCGTTCTAAACAGCTAATATGCAACCACAACATAAATCTCCTCTTCCAACCTGTTTGTTAATAGAGATTCAACTTCCTGGTGAATGTGGGTATAGATGAAAGTTTATCAAGGTAGAGATGTACACTGTACCAGAGGGCTATCGGAACTAATTCAATTTATTTTCCTATGTGAGCTAATTTGAAGGCCACTTTCAAACCGCCATGAACACAAAGACGATACCTATCTGAACTAATTTTAAGGCGGATAAAGTTAATCTGGTACATTGTAAACTTAGTCTGGATCTATATGAAGTGCACCAAGCTTAAATTTTCATACTGTGAATAGAATTTATTTCTACGATTTCTTTCTATGGTTTGCCATTTCTTATTCTTAATGTGCTTCGTTTCATGATAGATTTGTTGCCATTTTAGGGTGTATTTTTATAAAAGGAGTAGCCCCTTGTTGCCAGAAAGCTTTGCTATTTCTCACGGACGCTGCAAATTTCCCTTGCAAATAAAGTGATTTATATTTGTAAGTAGCTTCATTTTCACGATCGTACGAGCAATTTCACGATAAAAATACCTAATGTCCTTCTAATTTGGAATGGCAAGAACGGTGCCCTGGTTAATATTACTTGAAGAACTGTTCCATTTGGAAAATATCATAAAGAACCTAATTGATTAGTAACAGAATTTTACACGACATTTTGGAAAGTTTTTGTATAGAAGGTTTCTTCAATGTTTTTCTGTAAATTCTTTAAGAACGACAAATTTTGGCATAAGTACTGAGTCTGATTCTAAAATCAATCGCAAAATTTTTCCACTGTTTAAGGCGCAAATGTTTTGCGTAATCTTCTCTCAGAATTAAATTGTTAGTTACCAGTTCAATATATCGCACTTTAAAACGGTGTAAATTATTCGTTGGGTTCTGAATATACTTTCTAGAATTTTTATTGCTGTTTACTCATGACAATAAAAAGTTAATATAAAGTTGAAAATTTCCGATTGTATTTCGAAGGTAATGTTAGAAAATATTTCAATTAAAGTTTTTATCTTAATTAATTCGTGTTTTACTGATCTGTGCTCTTCGTTTGTTTCGTTTGCTTTTCAGTTCGAACTGAACCACTTCATTTTATCTCACTAGAACTGCTTGGGGGCTTCAAAATTTGTTATGGTAACTCTATAATTACTAAGGCTTCGTATCCACTGCAACGTTTTTTGTGCCGTTTTTATAACCATTCGGTTTTCTTCAGCCATACTTCCACAAAAAGGATACTTCTATCCACGTAGCAACAGCAACAAAAACAACAGCAACAACATAAAGCGAGCAAATCCCTACCAACAACGTGGCTTCGATTGACGCTTGTTGCTACAACAGCGTTTGACTAAATATCATAAGAACATACTGTGATTAGAGACTCGCTAGATTGTTTTAGCATTAAAAGTATTATCATCAACGTTTATTAAGTCACTCACAACAATGCCAACAGGCAAAAAAATATTTGAGAACGATTAATGGATAAATTATTTTATGATTTTAATATTCAATTTTACTTGGAAAAATTCTGCACGTGGCTGCAAAAAGCAGCTTATGACAATAAAAATATGATTATATGGGATATAAGCTTGAGTGACAAAAGTATAGTGAAATTTCAGCAAAATCTCGACACGCCACTGCAAGACTAGCTTTGGGTAAACAATTTCCGCACTAGCTAATGCGCATCTTTTGCCATGCTACAACATGGCAAATATAGAATTTTTTACCACGGTTTGGACTAGCTGTTTCAAACAAATGCAGTGGGTTTAAGTTCAATAAGTTCAATACTTTTACCATTTTACAATAAGAATAAACTGAGTTAAAAGCTCAAATGAAAGCAATTAAGTTCTGATTTCGAAAGAAAATCGTTATCGCTTTTAGACCATTTTGAATATACTTTGGTCACCAAAATGCTATTTAAAGTATATTCGCCTCAAACAAATTCACTCAAAATGCTCTTCGATTAAAGGTTTATCCGTATTGTGATGGTGATGAAAGTCATCTTGTTTCTCGTGCGCAGCGTCCACTAGATAATCTAGCCTCGGCAAGCTGTTGCTATGGAAAATCCGGTCGATTACTTGTAATTCATCATCTCGAACTTTGATGTTTTCCTCCTTTGTCCAAGACATGTCATGCTCTAGCCTGTACGCGTCGACGAAAGTATGCGGGCAGGAGCTGCCCCATTCCTATAAAGAATCAAACAAGATACTTTGTTAAGTGAAATGACTCCGAAAGCAATTAAAAAAGTCCCAACTGAATTTTTTTGGAAAGAATTCGCAGCGACGGGCCTAAAAGTTGCTGCAGTCCGCTGCCTTGCCCAAAATAGATTTGCAGATGTAAATTTCATGTTTCAGGTAGCAATAAATTATCACATGGCAAAGCTGCAAAAAAAGGTTTTTTCTGGGAACCTGGGAAAAAAGACAAAAAGTTTTCTGTTAGGTGAAAGTATTGTGTACTACGAATTGTACGCACAAACTTTTTTTATGCAAGGACTTCTAAATTTCCAATAAAATATCTAATTCAGTTGTTTGCATCTCTGTTTGTCTTTGGCGAATATTGACTATGTGAAAAACTGATTTGTGAACCTAATGGGGGATTTGTTTACTGACTGGCAGAAAACTTCAACATAGATGGTGCTCTCTACAATGCCAGCTTTAGGGAAGATGAATCTGGTTACCTGTTTATACTTATCAGCCAGCTTTTTTAGCCTTTCATATGATGGGTACACGTGGCAACATGATATTTTACATTAATAATTGGTGACATCTCAATATTCAAAAGAAAAATATGATCTTGAAAAAACATCAGAATGTAATTTAGTATCAATCAAAGACTTTGTTTAATTTGCCAAGAACTCAATCAAGTCTCGACACTTTGCAAAGTCTATCAAGACCTCAGTCAAGTATTGTATTGCTAGCAGAAATAAATGCATGTAATTTTTGTAGCTTTTGTAGCTTCTTTAAAGATCCGAAACCATAACCTGATATAAGGCAACAAAAACAGCACTTTTCAAACACATAAATTGCCTACTTCAGGTCTGCAGCTTTATCAGTTAATTAGGTCCTGGACAAGGAAGCTGAAGGTTGCTTCCAAGTTTCAAATTTTTTTGTAATATTTGACAAAGGAGCAAAGGTTTTTTTTAAAGCTTTCAAATATACATGTAAACCTTTTCACTTGTAGAAACTTTTTATCTGTTGTGAAAAAGTCATGATTTTGCTGAAAATTTTCTGCCAAGCTGAAAAATTTTTCCTGGGAATCTAGTTCCCAGGTTCCGATACTTTTTGCAGCTCTGTCGCATGGATTAAAGGAAATGTGGGAATGAAAAATTGTAGGTTCATTTTCAAAGGACCTTAGTCAAAGCTAAAGGAACGGAAAAACAGTAGCCAAAGGCCAAATCTAATAGGAGCACCTTATATCTGTAACAGGCAGTCTTCAGTAGAGTTAATATGCTGTACGTTCTTTGTGCAATATCGCAAATAAACAAACTGTTTACATTGAAAAGGATTTTAAGCTCGCATGAACCATAGTGACTTTGTTACTTGACTCGCTTCTTGACTTATCTGCCTTAACAGGTAACGGCTTCCTTTTTAACATATGATTCAACCAAACTAGCAACAGCGGTTACGATCAGCTTTGATACCACCATACACGTTTGTCTGCAAAAATCTTAGGAGCTTTCATAAAAATTGATCACTTGTCAATCATTACCCCTATTGTGTTTTACCATAGACAATAGAGCCGAGTATTAATTTACGTGCCTTTAATTTACTTGTGTAAATGCACATACGTACAGGCATATACAGGAAAATGAAAACAAGAAATTGCAATATGAATGAAATGTTTTAAAAGCAGCAGCGAAACTTGACGTATTTATAAAAATTTTAAAAATTTATAAAAATTTCCTGTTAAATAGACTATTTTATTGTAGTAATCAATTTATCATTTGATATCAATATTCTTGTTTAATCATTAATTTGATGCTATTAACAATTGGGTGCAGCTTTGCTTCTTATACTATAATGCAGCAAAAGGCTGTTACAAAAAGCCAGCCGAAGAGAGGAATGGAAAGTGTGCAAAAACGTGATTGATTGCAAAACAAGTGCAAAAGGTTCACATCTGTAATCCTTGCAAATGTAAAAAACTGTATAGCTGATGAAATTTATCAAATCTAACAATTTCGTATATAAATCATCCCTGGTTCGGCTTAAAAGGATTTTCTGAGTTGCTTAATCATTAAACTGTTGTTTAAATATCCCTTTTGCCATATTTACTTTGAGAGACTGTTTACCACAAGCAATAAAGCACTGGTTACATACAACTGTGTGCTGATAGCCTGTACCTTTATGTTTTTCACCCGTTTGAGACGAGTTACACCCCCTTTTGATTATATCAAAGACAGTTAATCGATAGCATACCTTGGGAGAAACGATTGAAAAGTAAAATTCTCCCGATGCCCTTTTGTAGAGATAATAAATCTTTCCAGGAATCTTCTTGAAATTACATTTGGCATGGTGCAGGAAATTGGCTTCGTGGGCCTCCTCAAGAACTGACCGGGCCTAAAATAAAACAAACTCTGAATAAAAGCTACACAAAAACCGCAACAAACTTGAACCCATTCAAGCCCATTTAGGCCAATCTTTGGTCTTCAAACCTTTAATATCTATAATCTTTAACACGGTGCTTCCAAAAATATATTTTTTGTCATATTTTAGCTACCGAACCGAGTGTCATTCCAAGGCAAGTTAGCAGATAGGAATCTCCTTATACCATTGTTTGTTAGGCTCATATTTTCAGTCGCTAGCAAATTTTCTGTATCGGAAATAAAGATTTAAAACTTCCAGTGTTATGCAGGACAGACATTGTCAGCTTGTTTGAAATAAATTCAAATAACCGCATCTCATTGCTTTGGAAAACAACAACAACAGTTTTCGGTATGAGAACCTTTCTTGGCCTCATTTGATAGGTATAGATTAGGAGTTGATCAATGACAGCAGAAACTTATTTTTGCAAATTATGGGAGGGAATAATGAAAGTGCTAGCAGAGAAACAAGCTTGAACGAATCGTTCTATTGGACAGTACATGAGATTACAAGATGAACGGAAAACCAACGATGTATTTGTACACAGGTAAAACGAGTCTGGGAGTGTCTGCACAGTAGATAACAAAATCCAGAGACAAAGGTTAGTCATATATGGATACGATCGGTGAACATCTTCAAAGTCCCTCTAAAGCTTATTGACAATTGTGTCAGCCTTAGTTAATGGTGTCAAAGCGAAACCGCATCTGTTCTACTGATTCTCAAGATATTCTTTGATACAATTGCAAACGGGAAAGAACATATCCCTTTTCTTTATAAACAAGGGTACAGTTTGATTCTAGATCAACTCATTTGGTCATACGCAGATCTCTTCGAAATTCATTGCTGGAGGCATATTATGCAACGCTCATTAGGCAGATGTAGACGTTTCTGTGATATTGCATTGTGGGTAGGTTTAGGCGAATATGTAAACAATTGGTTTTTTACATTACGTAACTAGTAATACGTTCATGCAACGGCGAACAACTTTGGCCAGTAGCCAGAACACCAGGAAATTCATTATACAAACAGAAACCTTTGGGTAGTAAGAATAATGCATGACAATATATTCAGTAATTCAGTATAAGTCAGACTAGGCCGCTTCAGTTTGCAGCTGAGCAAAGCAAAATGAAGCTTTTAACAAGCCCCAACTCAATCAACCGCAAATTAGCCGAACTGCAATCTTACATATAGCTCAGTCCTTTACCTTCAGATACCAACAAAAACCAAAACAACTCATAGCCCAAACACCCTATGATAATATCTATTAGAGACAAGTAGAGCCTTCTATCGACAAACTGTTGTCACAGATGAAACAAATATGCGCTAGAAAATCTCAATGACAAAAGATGTTTGTATACATTATTGGGTGGCGTTTTAAAGGTTGATCTAATAGCTGCCGTATACATCTGGGATCTTTGATTAAGTATAAAATGACGAAGGAAAATTTGCTCGACAAAGCACAGAATCTATAAGTCTCTTTATTACTGCATTCTAAGACAAATTATCCATGGTCTTATTTGCCATAGCATTTCTGGTTTAACTACTCTTTCAAACGACTTGATCCACCCGGCTTTGTGTGAATTCAAGAGAAATCTCGGATTAAAAGCACAGGATCACTCTTTCAAATGGTTACTGCTAGTGAACATAGAAACTGATAGATTTCTCTTTTAGTTGAACCATTTTTAATGACGCAGTAAAGATTTCTTCAAAGGACCATTGACCTGTCCCATCGATAAATGGCGGAGACCTGCGACCTACTGAATGCTCGTGAACAGTGAAACTTAAGTGTAAGAGGTTTGAATGAAAAAACAAAGTCCAATCAAACCGTACAGTCACAGTCACCATCAGATCAAAATTGTGTATGACAAGACTGAAAGTGAAGAAAATTTCACTTTACTTCTGCGTGGGATGCGGTGGTATCAAAGATCTATTATAGCTTGTTAGCCGGTTCGCAGTAACGTGGCCGTCGAATTTGACTTCCTGGAAAAAGCGATTCGTTTCAGGACTTATTGCAGACAAACAGAGCAGTGCGACTTAATGCTGATATCTGGTGGTTAAGGCATTTGGCAAATGAGAATTTGGCACTAGGAAAATAACAGATGCCTGGCTCACTTTGGACTAGCAAAGGGTAGAATTTGGTACAAGGATACCAGGAAGTGGCGACATACTTTCATTTATCGCGCTGAAAGGACATGATTTAGCTCATTTTGGTTCATAGCAGTTGATTATAGCAGTTGATTATGACAGCTGCTTTGTAACAAGGTTGGAAAGGTCATATTGAATTTCAATTGGAGCTGTGCATCTGGGCAGATACAAGCAGGGGAATCGGTGAATTCAAAGGAGGTTGCATGCGGAAATTAATGTAAACTATAATGAAGAAGATACACATGAAGGTTTAGACGCGATAATATAAAAATCAAGTTGACAGCATAAACAACGCGAATATGAATACCACTCTAGAAGAACACTGTCTTGCGCTCATTCAAATTGGACCTCAACCATCAGTTGCAGTGAGGATATCAATTTATTTCACATCCATTATAAATGGCTTGTCTATGCTGACGGCCGTGCTCGGTAACCTAATGATCCTATTCATACTTTGGAAATTCGAAAGGCTACACTTTCCATCAACCGTATTGGTTGCCAGTTTGTGTCTCTGTGATCTGATAATTGGCTTGATAGTACAGCCTTTGAGCATTCTGATTCGTGTCCTTGAAATGAAGTACCACAGTAACTGCCAAATGAAAACCGCCTACAGATATTTTGGTATCTTTGCAGTCGGCTTGTCAGTTGTCAGTATTGCAATGGTCAGTGTTGATCGATGCTTGGCCGTCACCTTTCCGTTTCGTTATCAAAAATTCGCTCGAAACTCTCGTTACGGGAAAATAGTCGCTATTGTTTGGGTCACCTGGGGCTTACTTTCCGTTATGCCTCTAATTAAAGGTATTCCAATAACAATTAGCTACCAGCTGTTGTTTGGTTTAGTAGTTGGGTTTTTTATAATGATAATTCTGTCCTATTTTAAAATCATCAGAGTCATGTATCGACAAAGGCGAAGGATCGCCGCGGCCGCACTTATTACGCGAAGTATTCAGTCATTTGACTTTAATCAAAATCAGGACGATTCGGGAGTATTTCTTGGAGCAACAACAACCAGAAGAATGCGCAGATATTCAATTAATATTGATAATAGTCAAGCAAATAGACATTCTGAAGGTCCGCAAAATAGAGTAGCAGCTCGATCTTTGAAATTCCTTGCAGTTCCACCGCTTATTGTTGCCGAAAGTGAGTCAACCAATCCCAAAACGTTAAATTCAACGACAAATATAATGTCTAGAGGCTCGATACATTCGTTGATTGATTCAACCAATCTTTTAACTTTACCTTCAACGACAGATATTGAATATAGACGCTCGCTTAATTCATTGACTGATTCAACCAATCTACTAACATTACCTTCAACGCCGGATATTGAATCTAGAGCCTCGATCAATTCTTTGATTGACTCAACCAATCGCCTAACGTTACCTTCAACAACGGCTATTGAATCTAGAGGCTCGATTAATTCATTGCTCGATTCAGACGGGGACTTCAAAATGCGACGAAAACGGGCGCAGTCCATATTTCGCTCAACACGCGATTTTGCGGCAGATGTCGTAAAACGATCAGTAAGGCGGCCGTCGCAACGAAGTGGAACGAGTACTGTGGTGATTGTCGTAACACTTTTACTTATATGCTACTTACCAAAAAGCATACTGTTTTTAATATCTGGCCGTTTTCAGTACGCAGGAGATGATGTTTATATAGCTGACACGTTGAGTGACATGTTTATGTTTTTAAACTCAGCTCTGAACCCATTCATTTACAGTTTTCGATCAAAAAATATCAAAGATTGCATATATCAGCTAATAAAGAGAAAACAAGATTCTTGGGAATTGGACGAGTAAAGGCTTCTGTACCTTACATATAATTGTGAATGTTAATATTTTATTCTTTGTTATTTTAACCTTTAAAACACTAACAGCAATATAAATGGTGTGAAACATTAAAGATATCAAAAGACTTTACAACAACTCTTTCTTTGTGAATGGCTGCTTATAATCTACTAACAAAAAAGGATTTTGATCCATATTTTAAGTCCAATTCTTCCATTGTTATGCCATTACTTAAAGGCACTATGTCCTGACACATTTTGCTGGCCATTTACATTTTCATTGGTTAGACTATACAATGGACCTATTGTCACGTATCCAATCAGCTAATTCTCAATGTCTGATTGTTTTCTTGATCATAAAAGCCCTGCAGAGCCTATTGTTAACTCTGAGCAGTTGACTGACAGAACATAGTACCATAACATCTATTCAGGGCACTAGAAATGCAACTGGTGCTACTTGTAAATACTGGAAACTTGTCAGGTAAGATGAGCCTTATTTTGATGCAGAAAAATACAATTTTTAGTAAAATGTATATAAAATGCTTTCTGGGAACATCACCAGCATTGCCTACAGTTAAAGCCCATTATGCACAATCAGAGAAACATCCTTATCAAAGGCATTTGTTTGTGGAGAATTACTATTTATTGAAAGGAAGTGTTTATTATCTTTTGAAAAGAAATTAAGGATAGATTATACGTCTGCTATTTGTCCTTTGAGGAAAGCTATCTGGATCTATCATTTTTTGTCTGCTTTCTGTATTTAGTAGGTTTTCACTTTGGCTAAAAAATACCTGGATAGCCATTCCAAGCATAATTGTCATTCATCTACATAAGTTGCATCCAAAAAAATGAGTATATAGACAAGCATTCATAAATTTGATATTAAAACAAACTTTATTTGAAGAACTCATTTTACTCGTGAATCAAAAACAAACTCAAGATATATTCATAAGAGTTCAGATTTTCTTGAAGTCATAGAATGCTTGATTTTTATGTTCAATTCATGTAGGGCATCTTTGTTTTCAAGATAGTGAATTTTGTAAAGAGGGATCATTTCATTCAACAAACAGGTCCTTAATTCTATGAAAACAGATCATTGCCACTGTTATAGAGACTATTGATGTTAAAATGACCTTGGATAATTCTTCATAATAACTGTCAATCATTACCAATCAAAATCATTACAGATTATCAATCACAATTATAAGATTGATTCTATTCTTAGATTGATTCTGTTCAAAATAAATGCAAAAGAAAATGTGTAAGCAGATTCTTTGTTTCTTTGTTCATATATTCTAAGCTCTAACCTGCTGTTGAAGGAACTTTATCTGTTCAGCAATGATTTGAAGTTTACTCCCAGCTGTCGCTTTAACAAATGTGTCTGCATTTTTTACTTCCCTTGCTAATTCTACAAGGTCATAAGGAGAAGATTTCTTTGCTGCTCTTGGGTTAACAAGCTGTCTTGTTGCATCACTTTCATCAGAGACTATCCTTGCAAGACCTGCATTTATAGATTTATCCATTAATCAGCTTTAATATCAAGATATACATTAAATTTTAGCAAGAGAGCAAACATTTTTGGCAACAAATGTAGCAAAAAAGTAAAATTAGCAGAACAACATAAATGGATGATATGTCCCCACAATCACTTTTTAAGTTTATTGCAACTAACAAACTTTCAAACTACCATGGCAATCAAAATTTTAACACAGGTATCAAATAAAAGGGCAACCACAATCTGTTTACCCTCAAATGAATTCAAATCATGCAAATAAATACACAAGCTTAACAGAAAATATATTATTTAGATGTAGTGTTATTGTAACAAGGGTGGAGATAAGATAGCTAGCCTTCACAAACTCTTTAAGTTGGAAACTTTGAAAATATTGACTCATCAAAATCTATATTCATCGTATTGTGGTATGGTGCAACTGGCATCCATTTCAGATGTTAAATAAAATTTAAGGCAAATGTCACTAAGGAAAGAAATTGTATTGTCAAAAATGATAGCCAGTTCCTTAAAAGAAGGAATAGAGGGATACGATTAGATAAGATTCTCTGATTTTGATTAGCAAGCACAAAGCTAGGTCACCTAGTCAAATCAAAACTAGACTTTAAGTATAATTTTGGGTTAAAAATTCACAACACACAAAAATAGATTCTAAAACATATGGAAACATCAACTGAGCAGAATTACAAACAAGACAGAAATATCAATGTCACAAATTACAGAAATTTGTAAACTTTACTGATATGAGGGAAATTTCAAAAGACTTTTGAGAACACTCCCAGGATAAAAAATATTCCCTTATCTAAACTGAAACAAATCAGTACAGTCACCAAAGATTCATCCTCTCCTGGTTATTCTGATGATGAAATGATCAACAAGAAGTGAGTGGCAGCCTTGAAAAATTAAATTTAATTTATACCTGAAGATGCTGCTTTTGGAAAACTAGATTCGTACAAACTGCAATGGTAAACCATTATATGACGCATGTACCACATCTTAACTCTAACTGATATTCATTGGATGGACGTAAATCAAACCTTCTTTGCACTTTGCAGTTTACATTTCTACTGCGTGGTTGAGCGGTCAATTCATTATCGATTTACTTTGTAAAAAACATTACATTGCTCTTATAGAGTTCAAAAACTTACCTAAGCTTACACTGCCCTGTTCCATGCTGTTATTGTAAATGATTTTTGAGAAATCTTCTCTTGTAATTTGATAATTTGAATCCTTACATAATCACAATTCGAAAAAGTTCCATAACCGAAGCCAATCTGAGGCTGCATGTTTCAATAAGAGGCTACATAGTACAGTGCCCTTTGGCCTTTGTTGTTGTTGTATTGTTTACACAAAGGGCTGTAACCGAAAAGACAGAGTTTGTTTTTGAGGCAAATTTTGTTGCGTTGTGAGCGAAGTAAAGTATGTCGAAACCAGAAATCTCCATTGATGTGACCTCAGACACCATATGACCATGGTATGTATGCTTAAAATTGCGATTCCAAGCTCTGTCCCCCGCTTTTTCGCCAAGACCTTTGTCCGATGAAGACTTGTCTAGAAAAACGGGCGTATGCGTAAATTTTAATTTATAATCGGTAAATTATAAATGCATTGTTGTTAGCTTGACATCATTACTGAAATATGAATTCGTGTTTATCGACTGAATAAGCTTGAAAAGCGTTTTTTTGCTTAAGAGAGTTTTGTTGATTTTTGAAATCCACTACTGAAATATAATTTTACTTCTTAATTTATTTTTTCTTTTTTTCAATGCTCCAGATTGGTTGTAAAGCCTTCAGTAGTAAACAATTGAAGATTGAATACTACAAGGATTGTTGCATATAATGAGAATTTCTGCCTTTTGGAGTTTTTGAAGTTCAAGAATTTCTTAGATGAATTTGCTAAGCAAGGATAGCTGTACATTAGCAAATAACATTTAAAATAGCAATAATATAAGTTGTGTCAAGCATGTAAGCTATCTGTCAAACAAACAAACGCAATGAATTTGGATAATTACACATGCATACAATATTTGTTGATGTATCTTTGATGTCCTTCTTTTCAGGTGTTTTGTTGGGAAAAGGCACCTAGAGACAGCTTTAGACGAATTTAAGGATGAAGCTGTATTCAAGGTTACTTGGAAGCCTTTTTTCCTGAACCCATCAACACCAGATGAAGGTATTCCATTTCTTGAATACATTAGTAGCAAATATGGACCTGATACAGCCAAGAGAGTTTCAGCTGGAAAAAGCCCTCTTTATGATGATAGCAAGAAACTGGTGTGTTCAATTTTGTGATTTTTGAAAAGAATTTTTGAAAAGTGTTTAGCATCACTGAAATTGATTTCATGGGGGAGGGGCTTCTATCTCATAGGGTCAGTTACTGAATTATCTGTTGATAGAGAACTATTGGGGCTCTGTGGCACCCAGTAAGTTATCTATTGACAGACACCCCCTGAGTCCCATCAAATAATTTAATTGATGCTTGCAAACTTGATCAACGAAAGGCTTGCAAAACAATTAAAGACAATGAACTTGCTCTCCCATTTCAATAACCAATTATTCCCTTTGCAATATTTGTAGCAGACTGTAATATTTTCTCTGCAATGATAAATTTTTTGAATTTTTGAAGGCCTTGTTATGACTGCAAAACTTCATTTTGAAAAACCACGAAAGAAGTGAAAGGGACAAATTTTTTTAACTTTGCACAATATAGTGCCAATATGACAATCTCTGCTTTGCTAACAAAGACAGATTATCCCTTTCCATATTTCTAGCTAGACTGGAATATGGATTCTTTCCATAGTAGATGAAGAAAAATTCAGGGTCAAATAGGACATATTTTCATTTTTCACTAATTTTTACTTCCTTAGAACTAACCTCCATATAACCTACCCTCCAGGGAATCACCTTCAAAATAGATCGTCTGGTGGTCAACACAATGAAGTCCCATTGCTTAATGGAATTTGCAAAGTCCACCAATAAGCAGAATGATGTTGCAGAGGCTCTTTTCCATGCATTATTTGAAGAGGGAAAGGATGTAAATTCAGATGAAATCTTGTCAGAAATTGGGCAAAAACTAGGTTTTGATGCTGACCAAATGATCAAATCATTTCATGATTCCAATCTACGTGGATCAATTAAGAAAGAAGCCGAAACAGCTCATCACAGAGGAATAACTGGAGTTCCTCACTTTGATATTTATGTCACTGGTTTAAATGATACAAGACCTTTGTCTTTTTCTGGTGCCCAGGGGCCTGATGTGTTTCTTAGTGCCTTCAGTAGGTTATTGAATGCATTAAAATCTAAAGCATAAACACTAAAATGCTAGAACGCTGTGCTGCACATTAAAAGTTTTTAAACAAATTCCTGAAATATCTTTGTCCTTCTGTTTGCTGTTAAAAGTTTTAATCTTGAAATGCATCAAAATTCAAGCATAAGCATTAAAATACCAAAACTTCTTGCTGCACATCAAAGGAATTTCCTTAACTATCTTTGACCCCCTTCCCCCCTTATCTGTTGTCCAAAGATCTTAAACATTTTTTCCCGGCAGCAATAGCAATAAACCTTTTATACAGACCAGTTAACTATAATTGCATGTGTAATGATCAGTTTGTTGTAAACTTTTTCTATTTCTTCAGAAACTGGATTCTAGGTCAAATCAGGAATTATACCTTATAAGCTTAACCTTGTCACCCCGTTGCTTATGAAGACTTTTATGAAATGCTCATTGTTGTGTAAAAGTCTGATCTATTTGAGCAATGATGTGATGTTTTTTACATGCATTTTTCACACGCATAGGTAGCTGAATCTTTTGCAGTAGCTGATACTTCCAATGATTGACTTAAACTACTACTTTTGAAGTCTACTGTTTAAAAATGAATGCAGTAGGCTGAATTATTATTGTAGTTAGATTGGTCACAAATCAATGCTTAAACTTTACTTAGTTGTTTTTCTCTTTCAATTACTTACTATAGAACTTGGCCCCTTCACCAGGGGCAGACACTTGGTCAAATATTGGGGGGGCAAGCCTATTGTTTTGATAAGATGACGTCACATTTTCCATTGTTTTGTAACAAAAGACCATTGTTCTCTAAAGTATTGGGGGCAGTCGCCCCCCCTCGCCCCCCAAGTGTCCGCCACTGCCCTTCACCATGAAATTCATGGCGTGGGCCCTGGAGTAAAATGGAGAACATGACTTCTACTTGCAGACGTCTGTGGAATAAACACGATCAGTTTGTCAATTATTTACAGAATATATTTGAAAACCCTGTATTTGGGAATTTTTGGTTTTAAAGGGCACGATGGCCACAACCCTGGGCATACAACCCTTCCATCTTGGACTAAATAGAGAAGGTTTTATTAAGATTTCTAAGGAGTTTTATAAATTTGCTCTATATAGTAGGAATAAAGATGACTCAAAAAGGGTTCAATTGTGTCAGGTCAAGTTGACAGAGATTGACACAGTATTTGTTTAGGTTGCAAGAGAATATTCATTAGAAGATTCATATGATTCGTTGGATCCAGTTACCAGTTTGCATTCCTTGATTTTAGCACAGGGGGCGCGAGGAAGTCCATTATATAGTAGATTCTGACACGTTTGAGGCACGGGTCCAGAAAAAAATCTGACTGGGACAGAAGGGAGATGCTAGCAGGGGCGCAGTGGCTGGGGGGCAGCCGCCCCCCCTGGCAAAAATTTTGTCGGATTGTCGGAAAATCCAACGTTTGTCGGAAAATTTGAAATATTAGACAAAATGTAAGGTTTTCATCGATCTTGTCTAAAATGTCGCATATTTTTTTAAACCTGTCGTAAAATAGTGCATGATCAACGCCATGACTTAGAAGAGGAAAATTTTGTCGAGCGACCAATACGCAGAAAGAAAAAGATGCCAGGGGAAAATTGCATGGATGGATTTGAAGAAAATAGGGAATCCGTATATCATCGTGATAGTAGATACAGCTATCAGCTCAATGAATACAAGATTCACATCTCATAAGGCAATTTTGACAGATTTTGCCTTGCTCAACCCTGAATGTTTTCAAAAAACAATTGAAAGGCAGTTGTGTGCAGTGTAATTCAAAAAGGTTGCGAAGAATTACGGCCTGGATGACGAAAATTAAAAGATGAGTACAGCTCTTTCGCCAATGATTACCGTAAATTTTGGAAAGTTAGAGAAAAGAGCAACCCTATCCCGGCTGCAGGAGAAAGAGAAAACTTTTCAGTTCCATTCAGTTCTTCAGTTGAAGATAAGTACAACCTGCAAAGTGCCTTTCCACAGCTGGTCCTTCTTTACAAGGTTCTCGTCACTTTGCCAATAGGTTCAACAAACTATGAAAGAGCTTTTTCAAAGCTGAGGATTGTAAAAAAATCGGCTACGGTCAACGATGGGACAATCAACGTCGAAAGTGATATTTTACAGTCGATAGACTATGGTGACATCATCGATTTGTATGCTGCCACACCTCATTTGAGAAAGATGCTGCTTGAGTAACAGTTTATATAAATTCAGTTAAAAAAAACTATTATTTTGGACGCGTTATATCTATTTAAGGTTTAGCATAAATAAATGCAAAGTAATTATGATGCGACTTAAAACTTGCCAAAAACTTTTTGCTTTAAACATCTATAAACACTAACTTGGCAGTTTATTGTCTAGTATAGCGAGAAGACTTGTAGGGTGTAAATTTATAACTAGTTGCAGTTTTGTTCATAGCGATTTATACTTGGTAAGTTTTGTTAGAATAAAGGCTATTGTTGAACTTGAAGGTGTATAACGAACGATTCATTCGTTAACGATTTCCAGATCCATTCGTGATATTGTAGTATCAAGTGTTGTAGTATATGCAGCAAGGGTAATCTTCAAGGAATGTATTGAGAAAAAATTTGTCGGAAAAATCATAGTTTTATCGGAAAATTTTCAGCTTTGCCCCCCCAAAAAGTTAGCTCCCACTGCGCCCCTGGATGCTAGTGACCACGAAAGTGGGGGAGGGCTCAACAAAATGACTCTGTGCATAACGCGGGGTGTAAGGGGTAGGGTAGCTAAAACCGCTAATCCGCTACTGTTTATTTAATTAGCCGCGCGTTTGATTGCTCTCATTGACGGTATATAGCAAGTCGGTGGCTATCTTTTCGATCCCTTATCCGTTAGCAGGCACCGCGGAGAAGGAGGCCTGACCCTACTTTTTGCCAAAAATGTAAAAAAGTTACCAATGAATCAGTCAAGCCGCTTTTTATTCGTTTTAAGCCCCCCCCTCCCCACTTTTTAAGACCCCCACTTTTCTCAACGCTCCGCGGTGTCTGGCTAGTTGTTTCACTGAAAATCCAATACCCGCTCCATATAATCGTAGAAATCCCCGCCATCCGCAAGAATCCATAGGAAATCCGTAGGAAATATGAAAATTGCTGCTTCTGATCGCAGTTCAAAACCTGTTCAAAAAAGTTTAATTTGTTAGTATGTTGAAGAAGTTAAACTATACTATCTTCCTTTGTAATTGTTCGGTCTTCTAGAGTTTATATATATGACCCTCCATCTACGACCTAAATCTGGAAGTGGCCTTCATGAAAAAGGTTGGACAACCTTGCTATAGATGTTAACTAAGTTATATTATTTTTTATATGTGTTTTCAAACTGCATGTTGCTAAGTTATCAGGGCTGGCGATAACTTAGCTTAGGAAAGGCCGCCATGGTTGGCGGCAAAAAAAATTGGAATTATGGTGTCTTAGGGATGGCCAGAAACTGTATCTAAAATGAATTTTGACTGAAAGTGTCGCACAGTCGCGTCTATTGTGATGTTGACTTGAAATAGAAAAGTTTGCAAAGTTTTAGAATAACCACTATCATATAGCTCGTAATGAAACTTTTTTTAGATTTTAAAAGTACCCGAAATAAGATAGGGGAAGAAATAAATGAAACACAGATTAATAAAAAACATTAACGTTGAAATATCAACAGAAAAACTATAAACTAAAAATAAAAAGTTAGGCAAGTTTGCACAGTTAAGATATAAATTTGTAACATCTGATCTTAACTTTTTTAGAAATCAAATACCTTAACAAAAATTTGAAAAACCTTCGAACTGGGCTTGTCAAAGTGAGTTTAAATAGAATTTATAATTGCATCGATATTTTTTTAGTAGGAATGGATTATCAAAACGATCAAACTCTGAAGTTTTTTTGATGATACTCTTTAAGAACAAATTTGCCTATACTTTATTTCTCATATCCTCAAAAAAGTTCTTTCCAGTTCCTTCTTTTCCTTCAACAGCTGATTTCTCTCTTTTTGTAAGGTTTCTGAGAAAGTTTTTGCTAACAAATAGACCTTGTGTGCCAAATTTAGACAATGGAAAAAACGAAACTCCGTCAATTTGTGATGGCACCAAGTTATTCTGAACATTCAAGCTAATGTTTACTTTCTCAACGGATTCTTGTAGTAGGGAGTCCAGGCTTTCATAATCTGCCAGGTGGGTTTTTTGAAAATGTCTGGATGTCACGGGACTGATGACGTCATTTAACAGGAAAAAATCAGACAAAATCATTGCTAGCTCTTTACTGGATCGTTACTTTTTGACGCAAATTACATATTTTGATTCGTCTCATTGCAAGCTTATAATAGAGTACCGAAGTGTGACGTCATCAAAAGTCAATTTTTAGAATTTCTTAAATTTGGCCACACAATCTGAAAAAACATCATAAAATACCCCTCAATAAGTAAAATTGGTTAGATATGTTCCAAATCGGGCGAGATATGACCGACGGAAGATTTCAAGTTTGCTAACTGATTACTGTTATTTTGGCCTGGTTCATAGAGTAATGAACCAAGATCAAATTACAGTGGTTTGATGGGGCAAGAGCCTGTGCTCAAGTGGCCATATTTCAGCCAATTCGTAATACCTTTAACTGATTTTGCATATTTACAGGTATTTCATAATGCTCTTTCAGGTTCTGGGATCAAAATTCAGAAATTCTAAAAATAGATTTTTATGACGTCATCACTTTGGAACTCTATTGATGTATATTTAAGAATGATTTGCGTGACGACATCAAAAAATTTGCGTGACGTCATCAAAAATCTTATTGTCATTAAATGATAAGTTGGCATAATTTTGTATTAATATGAGGCTGGATTTCAGCAAAAGCATTTCATCTATAATTTTTCATTCAAATAATTAGTATTTAGATCATTTAAATTACGTTTGTGCGAACTGCAGTAGCCAAAGTTCGAATAAGGTAGTGCTATCTGACGAGTCAGTCACTTCTTCCTCCGTAGTTGCAAAGTCTTGCTCCCACTCTGAACCAGAAAATAAGTTCTTTGCATCTGCATTTGACTGTTGCACTAAGTCTGAAGAATGTCTTGAAACTATAGGCTATCAAAGATGCCCTCGCGCTGGGCTGAAGGTACATGACTTTCTTCAATAAGACTATCTTCTGCTGCGAAATATGACCATCTCATCAATACTCCATCTGGCGTGTTCTGGTGGCAGATTTACATATGAATTTGACTCCTTGCACACGAAATTAAGAAGAACAGTTTCATTTCCTTGTCACAGTACACCTTCAGGAGTTGCAAGACTAGAGCTATGGTTTTGATGAGATGTGCAAATGTCTTTTCGATAGAGACAGCCTTGCCATTCTCGAAACCTTGGTGGTCTTGGCGCACGACAAAGTAGAGGTGAGTCATCAAGGCAAGTGCATAAAAAAGTTTAGAGCAAAAGATACTCCAAGGTAAAAAGGGTTTTTTACAATGATGCAAACATGAGAATCTAATAAAACTTGCTCCCAAATTATTTCGAAGCGCTGAGGGTCACAGGCTCCAAACAATTTCATTGGTTATATCTTAACGGAGAAGAAGCACCGGAGACTTCAAAAAGCAAATAGGAGTCCTTCCAAGATGTAACCACAAAAAGGCTGAAATCAGAATGATTTTGCATGCCACCTCGCAAGATGCAAAAGTAGTTGTTGTTGCGAAGGATACTGATGTATTTGTGCTGCTTGTTTATGCAATGCAGAAGTGCAAACCCACAAATGAGTGACTTATATGCATAAACAACAAACAAATCGTCGAGATTTGAGGCATCGCTAAAACTTTTGGTTCCAAAAATTGCTGTGTTCTTCCACAGATCCATGGAATTATGGGCTGAGACTCTCAAAAAGAGTTATCACCGACGCAAAGACATTCGCGAAACTGTAGAACATAGTGGAACACTATATTAAAGCCGCTTAGGGACAAGGATTCGTATTTATCGAATTTGAAAACAAAGTCATCTGCAGCACTTCCACAGATCCACAATCATTCAATTAGAGAAGAATTAAATTGTGTCAACTTAACAAGGTTATTTTGGCTACAATGTTTAGATGCAATTACTACAAGACATGTCCCAAAAGCCTGCAGTTGAAATTCGAACGACAAACATGATCGTTTAAAGTCTAAATGGTCCGCAGGAAAGCAGCTTCCCCATCTCAAAAGAAGTCAAAAAGACATCCAAGGTGTGAAAAGAAAGCTTTCTTTACAGCACAAGAATATGAAGATGACCCAGAAGATGAATTTACCCATGAAGAAAATCATACCCACCTTCATACCCAGCGCTAAAGACCTATAGTGCGAAGACATCTTGGGCAGCCTATAATAGTGCTAACACATTATATTCTTTCAGCTCAGTGCAACAGTCAAATGCGGATGCAGAGAACTTATTGTCCGGTTCAGAGTTGGACCATGACTCTGAACCAGACAATAATGCCTTCTGAGGAAGCAATGACCCACTCGTCAGGTAGTGACTACCTTTTTCAACTTCCTTGGCTATAGCGGTTCGCACAAATTTAATTTAAATGATCCAAATACTAATTATTTGGACGAAAAAATTCTGGAAAAATGCTTTTGCTGACATCCAGAGTCATAATAAAACAAATTTATGCCAATGTATCATTCTATGGCAATAAGATCTTTGATGACGTCATGCAAATTGTTGATGACGTCATAATGAAAATACTGATTTCGGCAAATAATGCTTAGATGTGCATCAATCGAAAGCTTGCACCTAGACAAGTCAAAGAATGTAATTTGCGTCAAAAAATAACAATCCAGTAAAGAGCTAGCGATGGTTTTGTCTGATTTTTTACCGTTAAATGACGTCATCAGTCCTGTGACATCCAGACATTTTCAAAAAAGTCACCTGGCAGATTATGAAAGCCTGGACTCCCTACTACGAGAATCCGTTGTGAAAGTCCTGTCTAAAGCTGTTACTCGTTGTAAAATTTAGACAATGGCCGATTTCTTCGATCTAATTCCCATATTCAATTTCATGTATGCCTTCCTTCTATGGTAAAGACATAGCAACCAAGGTAAAGCTAAGGACACATCTAAGAGAATACTAGGCAAAGTTACTTACAGAATCATCTTCACCTTTGCAGAAAAATGGGGGGACATGGCCCCCTCGGCCCCCCGGTTTCGCCAGCCCTGGTTATGTGTTCTTACTTCCAAAAATAGTATTTTTTGGCGTCACATTTCAGATTTTCGTAAGGTATTCAAACCAGCATCCTCTCGTCAGAAATTCTAGACAAATCAAAAAATAAAGAAAAAATGGGTTTCACAAGGCTCAAAATTGCATTTTGCAGAAGCACAGACTGTTCTTAATTCAATCTTAACTATAGACTAAAATTTGAGGCTCGTAATCTTGTAAAATTTTCTTGTAAAAAAGTATCCAAGTTTGCCATTTGACCGATTTTTTCCACTTGTCCCGAAAATATATTGTTCTCGATTTTAAGAGGGATAAAGCCACTGGCCCGTACGCCTTTGAATATGGATGAACTAGAAGGTCATACACCGATGCCTAATAAGGCCTTCAGCACTCATATGGTCACTGTTTCACGTGCAGCACGTGTTGAGTATGAAAACAAAACATTTGCCGAAACGATATATTCATTGGGAAACTTAGTAAGGCGCACCTGCCAAACTGACAGGTTGTTTTCCAAGCTTTTTACACATTGAAACTCATCTTGCGTGTTTGTAAAATGTCAAAAGTATTACCAGTTTGTTTTGCAGTGGTTACAGTACTGGGTACTGGATTGCTAATCGCTTGCATTGCTACAAATTACTGGAAAAAATATACTGTTGGGTCTTCGGAAACCTCGAGAGGTCTTTTTAAACGTTGTTGGACTTTTGGAAAGACCACCACTTGCAATGACCTGTTCCAAGATTTTGGCGATTTACCAGGTAAGCTAAATATTTGTTTCTGTGTTCGACCGATGGTTGGGCAGCCCTGTCCTGCTGAAGTTATGCCCCCGGAAATGATATAACCCATATGATATTAGGCCTTCCTTCCAGATGAACGTTTGTACCCAACTTTGTTCTGTTATTTTGTTTTTGATGAGTTGAAGATAACATAAAGGTGTCCGTTATCTCATTATCTTTCCTGCCATTGAAGTAACATTTCGCGTAGAGTTTTCCTATATGTTGGCGTAGCAATGGTGTACATTTGGCGTAGCGATGGCCAAGGTCAGAACAATTTGGCCCAGCACAGAACAATTTGGCGTAGCGATGGCTGACCACGCTTAAATCTCAGAGGCGTTACTTCATATATTTTTGTTGTTTTTTAATCTACCCAAGAGAAAATGATAAAATTTATAGTTGTTCTACAATTTTCGCTTGTTTCAACAAATTCCGGGGATATCCCTGTTTTTGGCCAGTGACAGCTGTTTTCCGGACCTCCACTATCACGGATCTCCCTTCGAAGGGCCAATAAATCAGCTTCCATAAGGTCAACAAAGGCCTAGAATTCTCTTCTATTATTTTCTAGTACTTTTGCTTGCTTCACCATTTATTTTTCTGACGTTCTTTTGCCAAAACAAACTAGTGAAATCTTAGTATTCCCAGTATGGATTTAATGAAAGCTGCAATCCTGAGAAATTTTTGTAAAACAAGGAATGCACCCTTGATTTTGGATGTGGTGCAAATTAAAAAGTTTATTCAAATACGGCAAAATGACCTAAATTTGTTCACAACTGAGATTGGAAATATGTGTGCCATTCTAAATTGAGTGATCCAAATATTTGTCACCCTGTTCTTCAGATTAGCTTAAAATACACTTCATAATATTCTTTGCAGTCATTTTCTTGCAATTGTTTCAATATTACTTTGTTTCGATTGTCTCATTGTCACAATTTACTTTTATTTCCATTCTATAAACAGATTTATTTCCTTTCTTAAAATGGAAATTCCTTTCTTTAAGAGGTTCTCTAGACATTGAGGACCTTATGCATTCTGCCCCCTTGTCCCCCTCTAGGTGGCCCTGCTTTAGATCAACCTCATAATGCTCTTACTCTTAGGATGCTAATGCTTTTGGCCTGTTTGACCATTATATTCTAAATTATCATTCTAATTATCAAACCTTTAGGAATTTGGAAAACAGCCACTGATGGTATTGGTAGTTAAGCATAGTTTACCACTCTCAATTATTGAATTTCCCTTAGGTGTAAAATTGATGCAAACAGGAAAAGTGCTGGACAAAATATGCACACCAGGCACTGCACAGCTATTAGGCTAGCAGGGGCTATAGCTCCCCCCCCCACTTTTTTGCAATAATAGGCTAGACAATTCTTTGGAAGGTTTACTCTAACGCAACTTTGGATGATTTACTCCTATGTTGTAGCAGTTCTTCTTGACTGGAAACCTTTTTTGTTCATTTTCTAGGTGTTTTTTATCTTTAATGATATGATCTATTTTTATAACTTGGTTAGCTTGGTGTTTTATTGACCTCAAGCTAATTTTATCTATTTTAAAGTTATTAAGCAAGTATTTTCTAAAAGGGGCATTTTCCAGCATTCTAGAGATTCAGGCCTCAAAAAATTTTTTGGGCCCACCTTTTTTAAGCCCCTCTACTTTTAAACTGGTGCACAGTCCCTGATGCACACACTCAAGAATCACTGACAAATTTGATGCACACTCAAATGTGCACACTCACCACAAATTCACTCTTGCCCTCCAGGGTGAAAGCTATGCACCCTCAAGATCTCATTTCTGTGATCTTGTCGAAAACTGCCATGAAATCCAGACTGGACTATTCTTGTAAGCTTTGGAGATGATGTGTCACCAGGTGTGAGCCAAAATTGTTCAGGGATCAAATTGGGGAACAGGGATTGCCGAGGAATTTTTTCTTTCCTCCAGTTTTTTGGGGTTTTTGCTTTCAGGTTCAATTAAACAATTAGCCAGTAAATCATGTGCCTTTTATGTGTCAAATAGACCTAATCTCTGTGAAGCATGTTCAGGGCATGAAAAAGGAAACCTGGCAATCAGATATAATTTTCTGTATTTTTTATATGATAATTTTTCTCTGTTTTATTTTGCAGCAAAATTTGCAGGAGTTGTGGCTTTGTCTATACTTGCAGCCCTTTTCGGGGTCTTAGCAATAATTGTGGGCAGCTGTGGAATGGTCTTGAATAAGAAGCTTTTTGCAGTTATTGCAGTGCTACAGCTTTTGTCTGGTAGGTTATTTTTTGTGATACCTCTTCTAGGCTTTAGTCAGAACGAAGCCTATTTGGCACATTGTATCAGGCTCATTAGTAACTTATAACACCATGTTAGCATTGCTAGCTCCTCCATTGGAAATTTCTGGCACTGCTTCTCATTTTTTTTTTCTTATATTCCACTAAAAATTTACAAGACAAGTTACCTATTACGCTACCTACTAATTACTTGACAAACACTAATTACAGGGATGTTGATACCACAGGGAGCAATAGACCATGACAACCCTGTGGCAAGTCAACATAGAAAGAATAAAAACTACCAGGTGAATTAGGAAGAGGCACCACCCGCCTGCAAAGCCGCATGTGAGAGCCACCAACTGACACACATAATTGGATGCGAAGTAAAACAATGCTATAAAAAATTGTCCCAGGCCTTACTTGAGGGATTATTATCAAGTGTGTGGCCCCCACTAGACTTCCCAAGCATGCAGCACCCCTCCCCCTCCCACCAATTACATAAAAATACACAGAAGAACATAAGAGTACTACAAAAGAATTAAATTTACATCTACTAGACAGAACTTTAGGGACATGGTGGTTATGCGAGGTATAACAAACTATGATGCGGTCCTAATGAAGTCGATCAGTTTCATGAATGAATCTTAGAATCAATTCAAGAATATTTTTGTTAAGATCAGTCGGGAAGTCTTTGTCACCATATAATGAAAGATGTGTTAAGAGCTCGTTTGGAATATTAACATATCTGTGGTCACTGCTATAACCATAACTAACTACCCGCAGGTGTTGTCAAGGTTCTCTAAACTGTTTCATGGTGCCAGTATGCCAGAGAATTCAAATCTGCCAGGTACCATTTCAAATTTTACTTCCGGTCACGTGAGAAGGCAAAATTTCATTTACGGTCAGAAAAAATTAAAAGTGATATTTTTTTAAATCTGAGGTGACATTGGAAAAAGCATCAGAAGAGATGAAAAAATCTATAAAACACCAACCCAGGAACGCTGATATTTTAAGAGATGATGGGCCGTTAAAACTTTTGATGATAACGTCACAAAATATCTAAATTTGCCCAATGCGTTAAACAAAATTTGTTGTTAAAACTTTTTTAACAATGGTACCTGGCAGATTTGAATCCTCTGGCATACTTGCGCCAGAAATCTTCCGACAAAGGGGTTGGACCTTCCGACAGAGGGGCTAAAATGACTAGAATATGCAGTTTTCGTACGTTATTTTGTCAAATTTGCTCCGACAATAACCTAAAATTTCATCCGATGTGGGGGACGTTAGAAGCTTCCAATGGAGGGGCTGTAGCCCCCCTAGCCCTCGCCTAGCGCCACCACTGGGCTAATCGCTAGCATATCATACAACCTTGTTCTTTAGATGGCATAACAATTTGCCAGTATATGTGACGAATGTTACGTATCATATTTGGGTTGCTCGTTGCTATGTAAAAATATCTAGTTTTAACTATCAAAGCTAATTTATTTTATTCTGGTACTCAGTTTATTCGCTCACTATATTATCGTCTTATGTTTCATTTGTTATGTTTCAGTTGTTTTCGCTGCTAGTGGACTTGGCTTGTACGCCAAATACTATATTGTTGGATTGTGGGAAGCAGGGTGGTCTTATATCATCGGATGGGTTGGCACTGTGTTTCTTGGATTCGGTCTGGTTATAATGATTATAATGGCAATCAGATAAGAGGATCCATAAGACGTCCCTAATGATTCACTCCAGAAGGGATTCATTCAAGAAATTTGCACAACTGAAAGAATGCTTTACAGTGCAGAAATGCCCGCCTATTAAATAGAATAAATAATGAGATTTAGAATTATAAAATAGAATAATAATGATATTTAATTCAATCGTCAATGTACAGAAAAACTGACGAATTATCGCACGCAATCAGGATTGTAACTTATAATGAAGTGATATTTTTAATTAGTTAGATTTTATTAACTTAATTAATTTTGATTTAATTAGATACTGACTTGGCAGCTGTCAATTTTACTTGAATTCCCTATAACCTAATAGGAGAAATTTTGTTCGCAGTAGCGCCTAAACTGTCAAAGGAAATGACGGGCACGTGCCTGTTTTGTTTTCGGGAATTCATCCATTTTAGTATATATTATTTACACTGAATTTTTGCTTGCTTCGATATATTTAGGTTTTTTCAGAAAAGTCTTTTTTTTGCTGTGCCCAAAATAGAGATGCGATTGCGCCTTTTCTTTTTCCAATTGAGAAAGGTAGACCATTTTTCACATTTAAATCAAATATTCAAGTGATATAAAACCATTTTATGATATTGTATTTTCATTTCAATCCTTCACTTTGATTAAACCAACTTCCATCCTTTCTTAAAAATTATCGAAAACTGCCTTCATCGTAAACGGAGACTAAATTTTGTGATTTTGGCCTCTGGGATTGATAAATTTATTTCCGTTAATTTGCCTGGGTTTGATAACTTAATATATATGTAGAAAGACCTCTCTTACTCAAGAGCTTACTCAAGAAATAACCAGGCAAACGCAGCTACAAGAAAATCAAACGTCTGCTGACTTTTACAATGCAATACAAAATAAAAATAAAAACGCTTTTCTTGGCTTCGGAGTTTTGGCCTTTCTAATTATGAGCAACTACCTTCTCTTATCTCTTATTTCCTGAGGTACTCTTATCTCAAACTTATCTTACCTGGTTCACGTGGACTGATTAAACAGTTGTCGTGGACTGATTCAGAATTTTTACCGGCCAGGAAAAACTGATAGGAGGTCAGGTGGGTGTTATCTGAAAATTAGGGCGTGGTCAAGTGAACAAACCGTTATAGTCTATCAATTTCCAAGCAACATACCATATGCAGCACTAATGGCAGAGGTGGGATGTTAATTAAGTGCTTGTTACTCTAGTTGATATTAAACATTAAATACTAAAAATTCTTTCTGATTTGGATTTCAGTAATTATGCGCAAGAGTTCAAATCTTTTTTAGATATTCTTTGGTAACAAATGGGACCAACTTGCAGAGGCTTTTATCAAATTCGTATTATTTATAGCTGTACGAGAATTTCATATCTTAATCATAATATCATAGCTAAATGATAACAAGGAGGTTCCCTTGAAATTTTGGTAATCATGCGCCAAGTTAGTCTGCTGTTTATATTGCAGACTTCATACGTGCTTACATGGATTTTTCACAAAACATTTAGGTTTAACATTTCGAAAACCATTTTATTGCATCCCAAGGAACCGCCAGTGATTGGCCCTCTCCCCTTTTTGCATAAATTTCACTGCTTCTTTGAGAGCCACTTGCAACTCGCAGTTTTGTGAATTTATTACTCTTAGAGACACTATTTTGAATACTCGTCTATTGTGAAATTTGGCTAATTCTTCTCATTTGCTTTACGTGTTTTATGTAGATTTTTAATTCCATGTTGCTATACCTTTACCTGTGTTGTTCCATATTCAACAGCAAAGCACCAGCTAAGTATTAGACTATTTGGTACACGAATCTTTAAGATGATGCAGCAACTCCCGTTCAAGTATCTTTCACATTGCATTTTCTGAATGCTGTGATTTGAGTAAATGAAATGGTTAATGTCGAGTCTGTGTTTAAGTTAAACTTCTAAATTTGGCTCGACCCAATGGCGGCACCAGCCACTAAGCTCTGGGGAGGACAAATCAAAAAAATTTAAGCCACGCCCTTTTAACCACCAGAAAATGCCCTTTTACCAACAGGGAACGCCAATTTTGTCCGAAGGGAACGCCTATGACTAACTTTTGTTTGAAAATTGGCAGTTTGAAAATCATAGGATTACATCACAAAAAGTACGGTGTCAAAATATTACCCCTCCCCCAACATTTTCTCATCGAATTTAGACAAAATACAAAATCGATTCTGCTGAGAACTGCGGGGGACGTGTCCCCCCACTCCCCCCCCGTGGCGCCGCTACTGGCTCGACCCTTGCCACTGTCAAAGATTTAGGTGCACGGGTGTATGAAAAATCAAAATTCCAGAAGCTTCCATGATAATAAAAGCTGAAATTCCCTTTAAATCTCCCACAACCTACACAAGTCAAGCATTTTTAAGTTTGGACCGAATCCCTTTTACAATCACATGCTTTATATTCAGCCTCAATTTGATGTAATCCACAATATGATGTTCACTATTCGTAATGGGCAACAAAAGGCAAGTTTCATATTTTTACAATGGGGCCCCATCTTTAGGGAAAAGGGGTCCTTTTGTTAGAATGGAAGGGAACCCACCGGCCACGGGCTCACAAATAAAAACAGCGTGGCTTGGTCAAATCGACGGCAGAAGGCATTGACAATTAATGGGGTCTGGGGCGAGGGACCCAGGAAACCTATTTTTTGCCTCCAGCTTAGAGGGTGTTTCCCAGAAGCTTGCCAGAATTGCAAGTATGGCAACTTTGCTAATATTAGTATCTAATTAATATTCTTTTAAAAAACGGACAAGAAGATAGGGCAAATTGCTTCCACATTGAAGAAGACAGGATTTTAGACAGGACATTGTCTTCATTGCCAATTTTCTTTTTGTTCGATTTGCTCTATTTAGATTATTAGGGGGAGGGGAGGTGGGGTTGAAAATCTGCCGAATTAAAATGTACGTTCATTGTTGACAGCACTTGAGCGCTTGTGGTTTGGCCTGTAAACTTCGAGATACCGACGGACATATCACTCCACTAAAGCTTTGTACGCTTTTGGAGAAATCCTTTTGTTTTTGAGAAAAATTCTCCGAAAATCCCTAAAATCCTATTGTTCTAAAAAATCTGGTACGATGTTTGGGGTTAGTAATACACCCTTATCAGGATACAATATACAATTTTCACGTTACACATGGTACGTTACAAGGCAGACAGGACAAATAGGGTCGTTTAGTTGCTGAATTGTGCCACCTGCTCGTGGGCCAGGGTCATGATCTAATGCGAATGGGCAGGTTTGATAGAATTATATCAGGAAGGCAAAACAATAACACCTCAACAGGTAGTTTGATTTGAAAGTTTTTCTTGTGCCAGTGATCTATCTCAAACACGTGTTGCACTTATACCTTTTAATGAAAATTAAAGTTTTAGAATGTAAAAAAAGTTCATGAAATTTATCTAAGAGATTAAATGTTCGCTTGAAGGGCAAAATTTGGATACAATCAAACTGATCATGGTCATAAACATAATAGTTTGTTTGTTCAGGCTCACCAACTTACCCGACAGCTTTCAAACGGATTGTTGATTGCCAGCCGTGTACAAAAATTGAGATGCTCTGGGTGTCTGCGGGAAAGTATGGCTTTCTGTTCCTGGTGGTTAGCACTATAACAACCATTGTTGTTTTGGTAAAAGGTGAGTGCAGATAGAGAATGATATTCGTCAAACTGCTTCTATAAGTGAGTCTTCCTAGGCTCGGTTTTTTACAGTCTTTAGTACATGCGCTTGTATGCAGGAAAATTGTTAGATAAAGCTTCTACTTTGCAATTGTTAGATAAAGCTTCTAAGATGTAAAATACTGAGTTTCTTAGATGTATTTCGTATAGTTAGACGTAAAATCAATAATTAATTGTTCCTTCATGTAAGATAATAGAAGTCGCATGCTTGCAGATTATTTAAAGTTTGCTCTATGGCCTACGGATTCAAAATATTTGATCTGAGCTGTTGAAAAATCATTAATTAGAAGTGCTCAAACTCAAAATACTAATTCTTCATCAAAGTGCATAGATTTGGCAAAAACTAGCATTGGATAGATGCAACACAGTCACTCAATATAAAAATAAGTCTATTTTATTATGTGTTGGAGCTTTTGAAGATGCTACTTAGTTGTAGCATTGTTTTCAATCATTTTCTTTTTGCCGCACTGCCCAAAACGGATGTTTATGATAACAGTGCATGTATGAAAGAGTAAAAATAAGGGCCTTTGATGTCACCAAATGTTATATCTCGAGAAAAGCTAGTATGACAAACACGATAAAATTATGATAAAATTGCTGCCGGTGAAAAAGTGCAGAAATTACAAGACAAGACTTAAGTCCAAAGCATGAACTTTGATCAGATTTCAAATTTTGAGTTTTTTGTTTGATGAGCTTTGAAGTTTTTCAAGCAGCTAAAAAAACGGTTATCAAACACAAATTGAGAATACAAATATACAAGATGATTCTTAAGAAGATTATCTAGAAAGCAACGTCATGTCAAGAAAACTAGAATCTAGTTGTGTTTTTTCTTGCAAGAACCTCATAAAAGGTAGCATTTGTTACCAAAGAACAATATATCCTCTTCTCATAAAGCAACAAAAGGAACTTTTCAATGTTGTATGCCTGAACTTAACATATATTTCAATTAAATTTTTCAAAGAAAAATTTGCCCAGAAGCAGTACATCGCCAAGGCTTTCAAGTTTAAGCAAATACCAAACAAGTCACACGAAAAATGTGCTTCCTACGTTCCTACGTCGTTTTATTTGAAATAAACATTGTTGCCATGCGGGATGAGGCTGAATTTGCCTTTGAGATCTTACGTAAGCATTCCAAGACTTTCGCCAGGAATAGTAGACCGTACCTTAAATGCTGGGAGAAACTTCAACTGCTTTTAGTTACAGTGCAAACAATTGTCCTGTCACAAAGGAATAAAAGGCATTTTTCAACGACGGGTACTTCAACCAAATACCTATTGCAATTAGACTCTACTATAAATTCAAAAATCCTATTACTCTTAATTCTTTTTGCAAAAATAACGGTCTAGTTCATGAACCAGTTTTCATGCTTCTATAAAGGCAACGATAACAAACATGTCAAAATCAGTTGCCTTTTTCCAAGCTGGTTTTGCAGTTATCAGTGTAATAGGAATTCACGGTTGTGGTCTGAAACATAATCTAGTCGTAATCTATGTCTTTCTATTATATTGTCGAAAACGAGGAAGCTCATTCCAAAAGTAAGAAGCAAATCCTTGAAAATTAACTAAAAGGTATGATTTTAGGAGCCACAAAAGGTAATGAGTTCGTAGAATGATGCAGAGTCAGGAAAACATAACGGTCGCACGGTCACTGACCGGAGGACGGTCCACGAAAAGCAATAGAAGCTCCTATGACACACCCAAGCCACGCCCACTTTCTATTGTTTTGTGAGGAAGGTTTGCCTTCTGGAGTGTTTTGTCTGGAGGAAGGTTAACAACTTTTCTGGACTCTGGAATGATGTTCGATTAATTCTTTGAATTGGGTTGTATCTTGCAAAGAGGCTCTTGATGAACATTTTGATGGACTATGGTATGGTTCATTTCAAATAGGCCGCAGTTTTCTAAACCTGTCCTAAAACTAGTATGTTCTTAACATAGCATGCATCTAAGCAGCTACTCTTTTGCACATCTCTTTGTTGTTTAAAAAAATACCTCATTTAAAAGAATGCCTATACATTTCAGATATGACCCGTTTCAAAGACTGCATGACAGGTGGACCATATTATGGCACCGAAATCAAACAGTTGCAACCACAACACGGGAAGAAATGCTTGAAAAAATATTACAAAGATATACTGCTGGTCATTGTGTATCATTTTCCCAAGTATGATAGTATACCTCATTTGGAAGGACTTTATAAAGACGCATTTCCGAATATAGCTATCTGTGGGCCAAAAAAGGACAGAAGTCACAGTGTCGATATCATTGTTAAAAACCATGGAGGATTGCTTGCTTATAACTGTCTAGGCCGTGCAGTTCAGATTTATCCGGGATATGAAGGCTATTTCTATATAAACGATGATATGATAGTAAACTGGTGGAACTTCGGAGAATTTGATCGATCAAAAATATGGCAAGGTGCCCTTATTGAAAATGGACATCCTTTACGCGAGGGATCGGGAGAAAATATAACTTACAAGACGAAATGGGTGTGGTACAACAGCTCCTTCGGATTGGAGCAGTGCAATAAAACTCTTAAAGAGATATCGACGTTAAAGCCACACAACTGGCAGCCAAAGCAATTGTACAAAAATTTGAAAAATAATGGTAATGGTAAAATATATTGCAGCAAAGGCTGGTCAGACTTTTTTTATATCCCGCGTGTTCACGCAGAAGCATTTTCTACCATTTGTGATATGTTTTATAAAAACAATGTGTTTCTAGAAATAGCAGTTACAACAATGTTACGATTGCTTGAATCGCAAGAGAATACGATAAAAATCACTGGACATTATTTACCAGACATAGGACCATCTGACAGCAAAGCCTTCTGGACCTATTACCGGACAGACATAAAATTCATGCATCCATTCAAATTTCATGTTAAGCCTTTTGAGAAGATGAATGTCGCGTTGCTCAGAAACTGGGTAATCAAATATAGCAAGCAATTTTTAGAATGCTGACATGGTGACTGTTTTTTAACGGCAATCGTTTGCTCTGCTACTTTTGTAAAGAAATAGTCAGCATATAGCGCGTGTGATTGGACATGAAAGTTAAAGCTAAAGATGCTTATCCAGTAAAGATCTAATGGGAAAAGTCAAAGCTGCACGAAAAGTTTTACTTTTGCTTTAAAATATAGTTGCATTTGGCAAAGGAAATTTCACAGCAAACTCTACGTCATAGGATTGAAAGATTTTAAGACATTCCAAGTTCCATTGTAAAGAGGAGGCTTGACCAACGGGTATCATTTCCTTTCAAATGACTGTTCATGAGTTAAAACTGCCAGATATCCAGAACGTTCTGAGTCTGGCTAAAACTGCAATGCAGCTTTTAAGCCAATAATACCCTAGAGGCCATGTTTTGTTTCGATAAAAATTGTAAATAAAAAATCAGGCAGAGAGCACAGTGTTGATAGTGGGTACAATGTTACCTAAGCCAAACAGTTGAACTACCTTCTATGAGTTTGGTTACTGTCTGCTTTGACGAGCATAGAATTTTTCTACCAATCAAAATGTTGAAACCTCGTTCATGTAAATCTTCCAGTAGCAGTTTTTCAAATAAACTTTATATTATCAGTTGATAAAATAGCTTGCATACACACTGGGTGGATTAAATCAATTATCTATCTAAGCGTTGGATACGTCATTTCAATTCTAAAACAATGAATGAATTCAGCTTTCAATCAATTGCCATTCATTTTGTTATCTGTCTGTGTGTTCGGAAAAAAGCGTAGTCATTTACATTCTTGAATTGATTATTGTAACAAAATCTGGCTTTAGAGATGCTCCTCCAACAAGGAATCCATCAATATCCTGCCTCGCAGCTAAGTCTTTGCAATTTCCACTGTTAACAGAGCCTGAAAAACAGAGCAACATAAGTTAATGCAAAATATATAGTACAAAGAAATAATCAATACGAGAAAATTCAGACATGATTGTGATATTTACATAGCGGAAAACACCAAAGAGTGTCCTTTAAGGTAACAGACAGGATATTTCTACCTAAAAGTTCAACAAAACTATGCTCAAAGATGGAGATCCAAGATGTCTTTTCCACAGATATGTTATGATGGCACAAGTCAATTAACATTGCATCACAACAAATATTATAAGTAAAAGCAGATGGAGATTCAACAGCTATGAATCAATTTTTTTATGACTAACTGACATCTTTCACACCACTCACCTCCATAGATGATTCTTGTAGAGTTAGCAGTGTCTACAGATAAGTTCTGTGACATCCACTTCCGCAAATCTTTATGAACATCATCAGCCTAGGTTGACAAAATAATACTTTATTTTATAGACTTGCCTCATACAATATGTTTATTTCATGAAACTGTTAGATGTGCAAATTTCTTATTTATAGAACAATCAACAAGAATCAGAGAAAACTCAAGTCTTGTGATTAAATAAAATTCAGCTAAATTTTGTCCACATTTATCATATACTGGTTAAGAAGCATGAAAAGTTAATATATAATACATCTTTAGACAAATTTTGTATTTAGGTTGCTCTGCTTTGTGACTCTTTGCTTTTTTTAAACCAGCAACAGGCTATTCAAGTCACAAATTACATCCTCAAACAGAAAAAATTTCACAAACATGTTAATCTTGCTTTATTTTACCAAAAAAGCTTTTTCCTTCACAATAATTCAATCCCTGTTCAAGCCAAGACAGGATTATTAAATCATTCATTAAGTTGAACTACTTTTCTCTTTGTAAAAGCTAAATGCAGCATGTAAAATATTGCAAAAATAGAAAAGCTCCTTTCAACAAAGGGCCTGCAAGCCTTGAGATTGATGTAACATCTTCAATCAAATTTATCTACAGTTTCATTAAACTTACATGCGTAGTAACACAATTATATCTCATTGACAATTTGTAATCATAAAGATAAAGCTTCTAAAGGAATCCCCTTTTTGTATATAAGATATCTATTCAAAATAATGTTTTCTGTCTATAGCATCGTAAAAAGGTTCAACAACTAGCATAAAGAAAGTACAATTTACCTGGTCAGGAGTAGCTGTTTTTCCTGTTCCAATGGCCCAGACTGGTTCATAGGCAATCACAACATTATTCCAATTATCAACATTATCTTTAAAAAGAAAAATAAGTAGATAAGAATATGTTCAAAGGGTAAAAATGTCAAAGAAAGAGTAAAAACAAGTCAACAAATCTTAGTTGATCACATAAACGAGCTGAAGAACAGAATTGTTGTTTTGTACCAATGAGGTTTTGATATTTCACCTGCAATTGCCTTCATTTGTCTGAAAACAACTTCTTGTGTCTTTCCTGCCTCTCTTTCACTGAGCAGCTCCCCAATACATGCAATGACCTTAATTCCTGCTGCAAGTGCATGCTTTACCTTCTCCCCAATGAGCTACAAGTAAAAAGTTATAAATTATCCATGACCAAGAGAGCATATTTTCAACATCAACAAATCCTTAGCCTGCAAGCAGACTTGACTGGTTTCTCTAGAGATGAATTTAGTCTCCTGGAAAACCAGTCGAGTCTGCTTGCCAGCTTGAAAACACACTCTGACAAGGGAATTATATATAACTGAATGCAAGAATAATCACTCTCAAATTAAACACAAGGCCTGTTTCATGCTCACATGACCCCAACAGAAAGCCATTCTATATTTTCAGTAGGCATATTTCTGGACTTCAGGACAACATAAACAAAGAGAAAAACCGTTTTATTAAAAAATATGACACCTCATCCGATTCCATGAAAATGTGTCTCCTTTCAGAATGTCCAAGAATGACCCAATCACAGCCCATATCTTTTGCCATTTCAGGGCTAGTAAAGAAAGTTCAATGGCATAAGAAAATTTCTCCTAACGAGTAATGTGGAGTTATATTTCAGTCACAAGGGAAGAATGTCATAAGAAGTAAAATTTGCTGATAGAGAAGAAGAATAAATTTGTTCTACCTTGATTACAATTTTACAGTTTTTCCTATCAACTATCATTTTCACTATTTATTTTTACAGAGTGCTGTCTTACTATTGGCAAAAGAGGGGTCTCAAAAGTCTTGTTGCTAATTGAAATTAAATGTGAATAAGGGAGAATTTGCAAACAAGGGTTGGAAAAAGCAATCAAGCCTGTGATCTTTTGGTGGAAAGAAATTTATGTTTATCCCCTTTTTGTCACCTTAGCTTACAAGAATTCTACAACCTACAAAGAAAATTTCTATGGTTTGTGGTGCTCACAAGAAGAAAATGATATTTAATACCAATGACTGCAAGAGCAGCAAAACTGACCAAACAATAATTTACAATATAAACATGGTAAATTATTGTTTGGCTATTTTTGGAGATAAGTTAGCTGTATTCAAGGTGGTTAGAGTGAGCAAGTGTGATGGAGAAGGGGAATTGGAATATCAGAACACAGAAATGAATGTGGAAAAAAATGTCAAGTTCTCTTTATAGCCCTGTCAGATTAGAAGGTATATACATAGCTTTGGCAACAAAAAGAGAATAAATAACTCGTATATATTAGTAAGAATTTTTTGATGAACATCTAGTTTAATACTACGCTAAAAGCATGAATTTTTGTGGTAATTCACTAAAACCCCAAAGGCAACCTCAGATGGCAAAAATAAGCAAAATCGAAGGGGGCAATTCAAGGATGTACAGTAGTAGAGAGAGCATTTTTGAGGGGGGCTTATCAACAATTTGTAGTTTTAGGGGAGGCCTTATTTGAAGGGAGCTTTTTCGAGGGGGACTTTTTTGAGGGGGGCTTTTTTGTGGGGAGGGGGCAATTTGAGGATTAAAGGTAAATGCATAAAAATAATGATTTGAAATTGATTGAGAAATATTCCAAAAAGGGAAGAAAAACCACTACTGAAATGAATGTTTTCAGTTCAATGAACTGCAAATAAAACATCTTGTGACAAGAAAACATGAATGTCATCTGTGAATAAAAAATTATGGCTCTCAGCCCCCATGGCAAATATTTTGCATACAATTTTGTTTAAAAATATTCATAGCTGACATTATAAGGGCAGCATCAGCCAATACCATGTAATGCAAATATGTAAGGTAGTAAAGGACTGCTGCTGTTACCTTATTTCACCAGTAAATGCTCCACTGGAAACTTTGTAGCAATTCTGAACAGCAACTCCAGCATCCTTCCTCAACTGGTTTCTAGTGTATTGAACATATATGGAAGGTGGTGCACAAACAACATCTAAAAGAACAAAGTTTGGTTATTTTAATGATTATGATGATGATAAAAGAGAAAGAAATAGAGCCTGTTTATTGAAGAAGCCAGCAAAGTGAATTTTTCAAGTTTATTTGTTCATTGATATCGCTTTTATTTTCTAAATATATGGTATCTTTGATACAATCATGCAAATTTGACGCATTTCACATCAGCCCCTTAACACACAAATAACTTTTAGAGCTGGATTGTCATCTCTGATCACTGGAGCAGATCAGGACTGAAAAGGAGTGCATGGAAAAACCATCATTGCAGGCCTTTCCTGGAGACATGGGCTATAGCCCGTGCCCATGCAAACCCCCTGCAAAATAAATTTCCGAGGACTTTTCTCTGCCCGCTCAGTTTTTCAAACCATCTTTTGTCTCATTTTAAGGTAAATAGTGTTTAAAGAATTGGCAAAGGTAATGTATTTTGCCTTTGTAAATACTCAAATATAAAAAAATTAACAACAGTTCTGCAAGGGCTAAATAGCCCACAGAGCCAAACTGGCAAGGGCTTTTTATAGTCTGCATTGTTTTTCTTCCTGGCCTGGTCATCGTGAAATTTTTCCAATGATGTACAAAATTTCAATCAGACAAAATTTTTCATGAAATCTATGAAGGTTTAAAGTCAAAACATGCATATTTGAATAAAACAAACACTATATTACTTGAAGTTTTTTTTTGTAAATACTCTTTTCTAAACATGGGCCAAATAAATTTTTCCAAAAGGGCAAAAGTAGCTTGGTGGAAACAATGAATATTTTTTAAGATCTAACTAGGGGGAGATTGTGAATATAGCATGGAAATTGTACAAAAGGGTCACAAGAAATTCTCATCAAACAGTTCTAAAGAATTCCTCATGAGCTCTTCCCAACTTTGCAGTAGCTGGAAATTGCACTAGAGTGCTTTGACCCTTGTGTGGAAACTTTTTGCTTTCCTGGATAACTTGCAAAAAATAATCAACAAGGATACTGTGGCAAGGGCAGATCTTGGCATCGAACGGCCTGTGGGCCACATCTGGCCCTTTTTGACATTTCTGTCTGGCTGTGAGTTTGTGGTGAATCAGAACATGAACTTTTGTAGAAGTATTTTCCCACTTGACATACACCAAAATTTTATAGTTCTATATGAAAATTTACATATAATCTTATTTTAACATTGGGAGAAAACTAAAATTTTACAATTTAATATTCTCATTTTTTGGCCCTCTTAAACAGCCTATGTTTCTCATATGGCCCATTGTATAAATTAATTGCTTGCCCCCTGGCTAGGGGAAACCACTCCCTAAAAGCTACTTTGTCAAAGGATTCCCACTGTGCCCTTGAGCATCAGTATGAATTGGAAAAGTGATAAAAAAGTTGTTACTAAGGATGGTAGCCATTAATGTCCAGTCTGCAGAATTTGACTTTTAAAATCATATCTCATGCATGAAAAACTAAAATATTGAGTGTTTAGGTGCGAAGTTGGTACTTTGTGTTGGTACTTAAGTAATGCAAAAAGTTTTTACCTGTTTAAAACTTTTTTGATGTGTTTGAAACTTACGTTGAACTAATTTGAGATCATACCAAATATGCACTTTATGCAGACTATTACTTGCAGACTATTGGAATATTTAGCTTTTGTCTGAGAGAGTGGCAAGGTTTTACAGCTAGAAAGCAGATCAACAATTAATTGATAAACTTGAGCCCAAACACATGGATTAAGATGATAATTAATTGTTGCTTTCAATTTAGTATTGAGTTACTTTTTTGCAGGTGGTATTCAAAGGTGGAAGAATAATAAAAAATAAAAAATAGAAATTATAGTGAACAAAGAAAGAACAGGATAGAACAATTGTCTCCAAGTTCAGGCTGAAAAATATCAATGTGCTAGTTGTAGCAAAAAAGGACTAAAGTAAACTTAATTTGCCGTGATCTTAACCTATTTTTTTATATTAAATCTACCCGAACTCAATTTTGAGGGCGTGTCCAGTACTCTTGGGTACAATTCCCTAGCCAAGTCAGTAGTGACCTTACCCACTTTCTCTGCGTTATAACTGGCATCATTCATAAACTTCAAAATTTCATCTACTTTTGCCTTGCTGCCATTCATCTTCCAGTTGCCGCCAACAAAAAATTTCCGGTCACTTGCCATCTTCTCAAACGTTTGAGTCACAATAATAAAAGTTTGCTTGGTAGGAAGGTTGTGAAGAAATGGAAAGTTATTTTGTCATAGCCTCGTTTTCGAGAGCCTCGCAGAAACACTAAAATGAATGCAAATTTTATAAAACAATAATGAGAGCTGAGATGTCCAGCTTTTGTTTGAATTTTGTTGAAAATCTATTCTTATTGAAACCAGCTCACATCTTATTCATGGTACTTGCCTATGAAGTAATGTGGCTTGTTCCACTGAAACAAAAATTAACACAAACTAGCTTCTTTGTATCTGAAATTAAGTTTCTTATACAGTAGTAACGTCTTACACATATTGAAGATATTGCGATTAGGTTGTTTTCAGTCATCACTTGCAACATAGCTTTACAGGGTTAACTCCGTTTGATATTGGGTCAGCTAATACATGCAACATCTCTTTGGCATACTAGTTGTAAATCGGCCCAAAAGTTTCAAAGACAGTACTGGCCTATAGAACCCCAGAGTTTTTTAATTGCCATTTAATGCTTAGACACCTTTATAATTTAAGTTAATTTTCCAGCGTAAAATTTTAAGTAATTTCTAAAGCCTTGTTTTGAAATTAAGATCCATTTTTTCTGTTGTCTCTATGCTTCTGAATTCTTTCATAAGGTAAGTTACGATAAATAGTCATTATTGTGAACCAAGCTGGCTCGACAATATTGCATAATTGCTATTCTTTTACCAAAACAGGATATTCGCATTTAGTCACCTTACTGCTCAAATGTGCAGCGGCGACGCCAAAGGGGGGGGGGGCGGTATGCGAAAAAAATCCCCCTCGCCACTTTTTTTAAAACATGATCTACCTATTTCTTCTAAAAACAGATTAAAAAGCAGTAGGGGTAGATCCTATTTCTTCAATTTCCTAAGGAAATTAGCACTGAAACGAAGCAAAATGGGCGTGGTCAGCATTACCCTCCCACTCTGCAATAGCTGGCGCCGCCACTGGATAAGTGCTCAAGATTAATGTATACCCTATGTAGACTGAGTGTGTAGACTGAGTGTGTACCTTCTGTCCTGGACGTACGGTGATGAGATATCATACCCTCTCCCTAAAGTCCAATGTTAATATCCCTATCACTTAATACTTACGCACATAATAGGTTCCAAATCTTTGATTGGCTGAGCGGCCAAAATTCTGCATATCATATTGACCAGAATTCAGAATTCAAGAGCATGACAACAAAAGTGCCTCGCATCTAGATTTAGGCCTATTTTGGATGTTTTTACCACTAAATAAACGTGAAAGATAACCTAATTTTTGAAAAAGAATTGAGTCTTTGATAAATTTGTGAAGAAACTGCCGTTGTACTCAATAAAAAGTGGATTGGGGGGGGGGGGGGGGCTTATTGGACTCAGTCCCATTTTTAAAATTTAGAAAGATTGTTTTTTGGGAAGGGCTGAAGTGAGGTTATATTTGGTTGGACGGACTCTGTGTTGGAAACCCTCTACTATAATGTAGATTTGAAACACAAATGCAAATATATTGGATGTGGTAGATGTGTAGCAATGGGTTAGCCTATTAAGTCTGTCTACAGCACAGACCCCCTTCCAAGCTTCCTAGGACGTCACCCCTGCATATGGATATCGTCAAGAACCAAACGCCTCACCCTAACTTCTCAAATAATGGCAATTAATTCATTATGATATTGTTTTATCATTTTTCAAAGGTTTGCCCCTGTCCTTACTGTATGCTGGTGTCCAGGAGAGAATATCGAAACCCCTAAACCTTCGTTCAGTTTTCCTTTCTGCTCACATTGTAATTGTGTTGAAATTGACTTTTACACTTGACCTTTCTCAGGTGTTGTCCATAAGCATTTATCAGAAAACAGTTTCTGCAGGTATGACCTGGCGATTGAGGCTATTTTCAAACAAACGATAGCATCATTTCACATCATTTAGGATTTTCTATATGGTGCACAGAATGGCGAAAAGTGTTCCAATTTTTCATTTTCAAATAGTTGAACATCGATAGACACGTTATGAAATCTATCAAGAATGAATAATACTTTTTTAAGAACGCAAATAGAAAAGTCAATATATGTTGCTTCTATACATAATATAAATGACTAGTAAAAACAGTAAATATTCTAATACACATGTAAATATTCTTCTTGATGGTCAAATTTTCCTCTTTGGACTTGAAATTTTCTTTCTGATTTGCTCCCAAATATATTTAGGAACAACTATAGAATTTTTTTTAAAAATCTTACCTGGCTCCGGTAAAAGGATATAGAATTCGGTTTATCTGCTTGATCTAACTTTCACATTAAAATGGCGCCCATAAGCTAATCTCATAGCAGCACACAGAGAGGGAAACAATGCATTTGAGGGTAGATACAGTGAATAAAAATTATGCATTTCAAATTAGATGATGGTTTAACAACAGCTACATACTCTAAACCGTTTACTTGACTGTTGATCTGTGTACAATGGTATTATCATCGATACCAATTCGCCGTTATAGTTCAGTTTCAAGATACAGCAAAGGTGATACTGCTTTTACTGATACATACTGTATATAATCCCCAGAATATTCTTGATATATTCTCAAACTATAATTAAAAGGCCAGGGAAATATAGAACGTTTCCCTAAAAATCTCTCTTATTTCATATTTTCTCATTAATTCTTTTTTCCTTCTAATAAATATTTTCTTAATAATTCATTAAAAATGCCAAAATTTTCTTTTTGACTAGAAAAATTTTTTTCAAGAGGAAGCACTGATTTAAAGGCTTAGAAAATATAATGATTTGTCACGACTAGAGTTCTAAAAGGAATTTTAGACGATCTTGGTTTCCGCTTAAAGAAGTTAGAAGGAATATAATACGGGTGACTAGATGTTAGAATGTAATTTGAATAGAAGAAGGAATCCTATTTCTACATGTTTGTAAATTGCTTATACTATAAATATCATGATTTCAAATCCTGTGTGAAAAAAATTGGGTTTGAATGACTTTTTCATGTAATAGAAAAGTGTCTAGCAAATCTAAAAATTGCAAATTATTGTTGCATGAATAAGATGAACCCAGTTGAACCTTATAAATCTCAGTTGAATGTTATTATTATGTTTAATGAAAATATTATGTTTTGACGGTTAATCTTTTCAAGCTTTTTAAACACATTCCTAGATGGAAGAATTCTTTCTAGGTGAAACATGGCAAAAAGAGAGAAGAACACCGATCTAAAGTGACGTATTTCTTCAAATTCTTCAAGGTCTTTCCATAGTCAAGATATTTTAATTTTTCATTCAGAAATTGTAACTTTCTTATCTCTCTTAGATATAGGTTTGTGCTTATCCACTACTGGTCCCAGCGTAATTTCAAACTCAATCTTTTCTTTAGTTGTAAAGTGAAGCCAGCATGCTGAGCTCATAACATTGTGAGTATTCCTTAAAACCGTATCAAAAGCAGATTAAACTGTAAACGATCCACTATACTTTGACAGGTTTCTGTCTGTAACCTTACTTACAAAGGAAAGAGACTTATAAACATTACATTGCATTTGAAATAAACAAATGCGTGTTGAATTGCGTAAGTGAAGCAAACAGCATGTTTTAAGGATATAAAAGGGAGATCGAAGTGGCATATTCATACAGGCATCTGTAGTGGGAGGACGAAGATAATGAGATTTTTCGTTCTGACCCTTGCCTTTTTGGCGTCTCTCGGCTTTGTTTTTAGTTCTCCTGTGCCTGAAAATAAAAATGACGCGAAGCCACCACCGATTAGCCCTGTCGGTTTTCCTACAGATTTGGCACAGCCCGTTGAAGCTCCAAAGATAAGTGAGGATGACAAATCAAGCAAAGGCGATCAAGAAAAACCTAAAGAAGAGGAAGAAGACAAGGAAGAAGATAAGGTAAAAGATAAGGGAGAAGACAAGGAAGAAGACAAGGGAGAAGACAAGGGAGAAGACAAGGGAGAAGACAAGGGAGAAGACAAGGGAGAAGACAAGGGAGAAGACAAAGGAGAAGAAAAGAAAGGAGAGGGCGACAAAGTAGAAGAATACAAAGAGGATAAAAAAGAAGAGGGTAGTAGTGCTGACGATGGTAAAGATGATTTTATTAATGAAATTTATTATATTTTAGTATAACCAAACATTGACTAAAAGAACTTCACTCATATAGCAGAGAAATCTGAATGAAAGAAAATTGGTTTCTTGGTAACCTTTCTATACCTTCAGCTGTCTTAAGAAGCTTTTCACTATTTTTTCTTATACATATTGTTTTTTATCTTTATACCAATCAATCAAAAGATATCAGTGACCGGGCAATTAAACTGCTAAGCAGAAAGAAAAGATAACATGGTATGAAGTAGGAAGTATGTGATGATCATATAGCGAAGTAATCGAAAAGGACAGTTTGATTGACTGATTAATCGATTGATTGTTACACTTTGCAGTGCCCGATTCACCAAGAACAGAAAAGGAAGAAGAGGAAGAGGAATCAGCTGAACTTAACCGTAAGTTTTCAGAATGCGTAAAAAAAGTAGTAAATACTCAACAACCTCCTACACTAAAGTTAGTAACAAATTTGCCCAAAATTGAAGTCAGGATTGTCAATTTGTAATTTTCATTTCAACGTATGATGACTATCCTTTATTTTAAGATAGTTGTAGCTTGAACTAAAATCATCAATAGTGATGCATATAACTTTTGCTCTAGCCGACCTTTTTGAGGGAGACCTTAAACTACCACAAAGTGAGATTGACAGAATCAAAAACAGCACCATTTCAAAAAAGGATGCAGTATCGGCTGTCGCAAGAAAATGGCCAAAGAATGTTGTCCCATATGTTATTGACAATAATGTTGGTATGTCTCCATTTTTATTTTGATATCATTGATTGGTCGAATTTTTACCTTCCTTTTGTCACATGAAGTAAGTGAACCAAGAAGACAACTACTTTTTCTTTAGAGTGGGGGGAGGGGGGGGGGTGAAAATAGCAAAATCCTTTATTTCAAATGCACTATCCACTTTGTTTCTATGGTTTTCAAACGATAGTGTCCTTAATAATATTTGGTTTTTTGAGATATCAAGAAACCAATAGGCCTAAAACATTTACAAAATATTACACCTGATTATCATCAAAGTCTTTTGTAATTCATAATGAATACTTTTGAAACACAGTAATGTTTAGATTTATTTGCATCATTTTGAAATGTAAATGCAAGGCGTGAATGCTTCAGCACTATTTATGCTATGGGTTGCTGACTAAGGCTAAAGAAGAGATATTATACTTACTCAAGAATATGTTTTTTTGATAAAAACCAAGAAAATACTCTAATGATAAAATGATTCTAGAAAAAAAGATTTACCCTGAAAAATATTTTATTGGCCCTCTGCACCGTTCTCTTCAAATTAGATCAAAGAACAACACAAGTGATAATGAAAGCTATTGGAGAATTTAGAATGAAAACTTGTGTAAGGCTTAAAAGGAAGAAAACGACAGATAAGAATTACGTAAGATTTATTCGTGCAAAGTAAGTAGTCATTTGATTATGCTATATGTATAAACAATTTTTTTGCGGTACAGAATTTGAAAATGGCTTTGAAAAAAGCAAAAATTTTACGACATACTAAAAGCATTTCGTCTGACACTCCTCAGAGCATAAAACGTCAGAATAGGTTCCGAAAAAACACGATGGAAAATATGTACCCAGTTGTGGATCGAAATAGGCCAATCAGAAAAACGCAAGCACAAGACCGGTATAGTTGACCAATCAGTGCCGCAGCCTAAAGAAAAATTACCAATGGAGTCCAAGAGAGAAAACGAACTCCTTTTGTCTACACAATGGCGGCTTTTTCGTTTTTATGTAGATTGACTCCAAAACTGCTAGATGGAATAAAGTTTTAATTCTGTAACGCCCTTTAATTTACGTGTTAGGTAGAAAGGCTGGTTTCCTGACTGTTCAGCTGTTCTTGATTCTGTCTGCTCAACCACACTAAAAAATCTTTGCAATCGAGTGTTAATCTAAAATATAGCACAAAAATCAATTTGGTTGATAACTTTTTTCTGCAAATCTGAGAAATTTTTATCAAGATTTGCCTCATAATTCATTGGCCACTTCAGGAATTACTTTACAATATGCAAAATAGCAACTTTTGTCCCGCTTACGCGTTCCTTGTACAGTACTGCACCAATCGTCACTTGTACATTATAGAGGATGCTATTCAACTTCTATTGGAAAAAGTGCTAAAAGAGGTGCTCAGTTCATTTCAATTGGCAAAGGTTGTGAGTATGTTGGAACAGTGATACATGAAATCATGCATGCTATTGGGTTCTTCCACGAGCATACTCGCCTTGACAGGGATCAATTTGTTAAAATCCATTGGGACAATATAGAGAAAGGTATGACTAATCAGTCTGTAAAAAATTGATGCAAATAAATGGAAATCCGTAAAGATTTAGATATAGATTTATAATTCATGACTTTGCATCTATGATGTTTTCCAGATGAACACACTTTGACATATTCAAGCTAGCGGAGCCATAATACAAAACATGGATTTAATACCGTATCATACAGATGTAGCCAAATATGGAACACAGTTCCAAACGAAATAGAATACATACTCCCCAACTTTACTCAAAAAAGATCTCAGAATTTTCATCGTTTAATTGTACTTTTGATCTTTGCAAAGAATCTGCAACATCGATTATATTTGATTTGCATTACATTTAAAGTTGGTAGTTTAAATTAGTTGGTTTTAATTAGCTTAAGTATAGCTAGAAATTGTACCAACTTAAGAAAGAAAGACAAAAGCTAGGTTTGGAAGAAATGTAAAAGCAATTTAATGACAGCTAAACCTTTAATTTTCATTTTGCAAAACAAAGTCGCAGACAAATTAGCGTGAAATTTTGCTGCACATTTATTGAGTTTAGTTGTCAACTTTGAATCCTTTTGAAATTTTGATATATTTTAGTTTTCATTCTGCTTTGAACTGGGTGAAGGTATTTTTGATTTATCTAAAGTTCTGAAGGTGAGGATAAGCTCTTATTTCTCAGATCTCCCGAAACTGTAAGTGTAAACTGGAAGCACTATAAAGCAACAGTCCAGGGTCAAATCTAACTGTTTGAAAAATTGCCAGAAAAGCAGAATGAATTTTGCGAGCATGCGCGAGAAAAAAATAAGAGAATGTCGGCCTAAGTTGAAAACATAACTATAGCGTTTTCAGTCAACATTTCAAAATACCAAAACAATCTAATTTTGAAGCAAGATTTGCATCAAGAGACTTCATCGTCATCGAAATAATCGAATTAATTTTTCTGATGCAGGACGTGAAGGTCAGTTCCAGAAATATGCCCATGGTGCTGCGGACTATCTTGGAGAACCATACGACTACGACAGCGTGATGCACTATCCACGCGATGGTTTTGGAATCAAAGTGAATGGAAAGCGTTTAACAACGATTGTGCCAAAGAGCAAACCATGGAGAAAGATTGGTCATAGAGGTGGTTTTAGTTATATTGATCTCAGGCAGCTCAACAAGCTTTACACTTGCAGAATGAGGAGAAGAAAACCACGAAGACAGTAACAGATTTCAAAATACAGAGAACACTGAGAAAAGCAAAAACCTGCGATTACTACATTTACGTTATTCCTGTCAATTTTTCTGGAATTAACACCTGTGTACAAGATGAAAGGCTTTATAGTTGTGCTTATTCCTTTGGGTCTTGTTCTTGACAGTTGCAGTTATATAATCCATGTGAATGAAGCTAAAATTTCTTTATAACTTCCTACCACTGCTCCTCGGTGATTCATAAGGACTGCCAATTAAAATAAAAAAATCAATAAAAAAAACAGGTGAAAAACCCAAGTGACAGAGAAAAGTATTCAATGAGAGAGACGGAAAAAATATTTTCTCCTCTACAGTTATGAAAACCTCGTAGTCCACATACCAAGAAATTTTTTTGATGCCTCCGTTATTCTAATATATACTGATCATTCTTCTTGTACAATCAAAACAAAGTCACCTGTACTGGTAGATAAAAGCTTAGCCTTTGTCAAACTGCAGTCATTGATTGGGGAACAGGTATTGAACAGAAAAATAACTTTCAGTTTAGCTCAAAATCTATTATAAAATGTAAACTGCTATTAGGAAATTACCGCTGTAAACATTAACTTCGTTTTCTAGAAAGGGGGTGCAAAATTTCAAATGAATATGCTTGATCAGGTTTCAAATCATTTGCAAATTAGCAATCACACATCTCAAATTCAACAAAAAAGACATTAATAGAGAAATTCAGAACAAAGTTATTTTTATTTGTCATATTGAAGTCAAGAGACTAGATTGTCTATATTACTTTTAACGATTGAACCAATTTGGTTGTGAACTGGTTGCTACTATAGTCATCTACTGGTCACCATTAAATTTATGAATTTTTTGTTGTAAATGTTGAATGGGAACAGCTTGTAGGGGAAAGGAGCGAGCAAAAGCTTTCTAAGGTGTGAGGTAACCCTTCACCCTGGAGTGAAAGAGCATGTGCAACAATGATTAAGTTCTATGCGCACGATCTTTGAATCCAAGAAAGGGTTGGCCATACTCCTTTAAAATTTTCTCTTGTTCTTCACGTCAACGATTTGAGTATATGTAGAAGCATTTTTACCGTGCTCTAATTGATTACCAAAAAATATTCTCTACTTGTCTATAAATGTCTAAATTAGGGTTCGCTGATAAGCTACCGAGAATTATCAACGAAGCAATAAATTATATGTGATCTGGTTTTGCGTGGTACAAGAACTTTTATAGAAAAATAAGGCTCAGGGTTATTACTCATCTTCTTAATTTTTTCGTTGCTTTTGGCAATAAAAGTTCAACAAATAATCTGAAATACCACGTTGTAAAGAAACATACCTCACAAAGCTTAACATAGCATAACATAAAACAGAACACATAATTAATCGCAAGGGGGTCTTTTTTTGTAAGACAGAAAATCTTAGTATATCTGAAAAGAACTAAAAAAAGGTTCCATTTTAAGCTCAGCTTTAAAATTGTCATTTTTTGAGACGTTTCGCAAGATTGAAGGTAATCAGTAACATGGAATTTTTATATAAGGGCCCAGTTTCTTTTATTTTTTATATGAGGGCTCAGTTCGTGTAAAATTTATATACGGTGACACGATGCAGCCAAATTTCTTCGACCAGCAGCCAATATGCACATGCACGCGCAAGAATCTCGTAATTGAAACTATTAGTAATAGTTGCAAGGGTATTTTGAACGAAGAGAAATTTAGTTTATAACTTTTTCCGTAAATCACCGGTGACTGTAAATAACATTTTCATATTTCAGCCACCAGGGCTTGACAAGCAGTTTATGCACAGGATCACAAATAATTTCAGGCAGATGATGAAATATTTTGCATAGTTTTTTGCATAAGATTTCATTTTGACAAATATAATTCATACACTTTTGAAGAGAAGGTATTACAAATCTCTTTAAATTTAATCATTAATATTTTCATAAGGTTCTTAATTTATTTTGAAAGGAAGATTACACATTTAATGGGCTCCCTACAACTGAACTTGATATCTTCATGTCAAACTTTCATTTCATTATATTTCAGTTTCCTATTTCTTTGAAGAATCTTGCAAACAACGTGAATTAACTGTGAGATTCAAATGCATGTTGAAAATATATCTTTTAGCTTGAAAACAGACAGCTGTGGCGTAACGCAGTTTAGGGTACCTTAGTCCGATAACTAAAAGCCCCCTACCAAATGGGGGCCCCCGACCAAGCTCTACTCCTTTTCAAGAACTTTTAAAGCTCTTCGACTTAAGCTTAACTCTCCTCTCCAAGTTAACAAAGCAGATTGTTATTGAAAGATTGAACTCTTGAATGGGACTTTCTTGCAGTCCGTCTCAGGTCCCGTTCCGCCACTGTCAGTGGAAATTCAAAACCAACAAGAGTCTTATTGAAATCAAGATATAAAGACAATAAGTTAGGAGTCATAGGGGCAAATGTCAAAAAATAAAGTTGCTCAAAGGACTTTGTGAAGCAGGGGCGTAGCTAGTGTGGGTGTAAGCTAGTATGGGGGTGTAACCCCCCTAATTCCTCATGCATTCGTCGGTAAATCTTCAGTTTGTCTACAAATTCCTTAGTTTGTCGGTAAAATCATCTATCAGTAGGTGAAATAGCACCTAAGTTCTTCTCCATCTATGTCTTAATCGGTACATTTTTCTATTGATGACCCTCCACCCCCCTAACCTGGAAGGTCAAGCGACGCCACTGTTGTGAAAGTTGCAGGTTTTTCCATGAATTGTCTTGGTTGCTGTTTTTATCTAATTTTTCAAATTACACGACAATTTGTTGCGTTCAATTAGAAGTTCTGATGTCTTCGTAACAACTGGTATCTCGCACAATAGTTTGCAGTATTTTCTGTAAAGAAATCTTACTAGTATTTTATCTAAATATCTATCTAGAATTTGCAAGTTTTCAGATATAAGAAACTGTTGATACAAACTGTTACTTGTGCTTCTTATGGTGATTGCATTAAGCATAAAACTCGAAGAAACAACTTAGAGCAGTGCTTATCTCTGCAACAAAGCAATTACAAAAAAACATCAATTATAGAAAATATATAAGCAAATAGGTTTGTTTGATAATTTGCTTCATATAAAGTTCTACTACACTTTTTTTAATGTAGTTTCTGGGAATCTTAAAGACGTGTTCAAGACCACCCGGTTTTCGTTAGCAAGTTGACATTGGCGGAAAATAATGATAAAAATGTTTAAAAGGGTTAAGATACGTAAAAAAGATCTGTTCTAAACATCTCAAAGCCATTCATCGCCTTCCTGTCCTAGCCACCTTCTCCAAAACAGTTTGCCAAAAGCTTTTAAGCAGGACAATGGAGTAACGCAATTCGTGAGATTTAAAGAATATTATGATTAAGAATTGATATAAAAATCGTGTATAGAAATGATATCAAAGAGCAACCCACCGCCACTAAAAATGATCTTGAAATTGGTAAAAGGGAAGTATTGATAAAATGTACCTTTAAGCAAAAGACCCTGATATGGACTCATCCAAAAGCTGACAAAAATTTTGAAAAGCGCTCATAATCTGAACTCATAGATTAAAAAGAACATTTTGCTAATGAGAAACAGGCTAGAAAGTAATCGAGGATGAAAATTTTCAGAGATCTCAGATTTTACTATAGGCCTACCAGCCGAAAAAATTTCTCTTGAACGTCAGATCAATCATGTAGTTACAGGATTAAAGAAGCGAAATATTTTGCATTTATTACCTGGTTTGTTTAACCTACTTTGACATTTTCTTGAAATAATGAGGTAGAAATCACAAATTAGATTAAATATCAATTACTTGCAATATTCGGGTGACTGGCACTAAGCAAACAGCTACCTGCAGATGGATTATTTAACCAATAGGTGGAACATAGAACTCATTTTGACATCGGCATCAAGAAGAGAAAGACGATGAACTTCTTCATTATTTCCAGTGTACTCTTAGCAACATTTTACCTGGCTAGCGGTGCTCCTGCCCCAGGAAAAAGTGTTGCTGTCAAAGTTCCAGAAATAAAACCGATTGGGTCTTCCAGTGAGGATCCGCAGCAAAAGCCAGGAGACGTCCAACCACAAACGAAGCCAGATAGCGAAGATGGACTGGGTGGAGAGGAAATAAAAGAAGACGAGGAGAAAACAGAAAGTAATGGTAACATACGATGCAACTTTAAAATATTGTATACAATGCAACTTTCTACAAAATCTATCATTATTAGACACAATGAAGTTTTACAAAATTTACGGGAAAAATTGAAGAAATTTTTGTGCTTGAACAAGAATAAATGTTACGACTAGTTTTGGAAAAGTGATGAAAGAAAACATGTGAGTAGTTGAAAGTGAATAAAAAAAACAGATCTTGTTTGAGTTTTTAGGACAATTGCATGGTTCATGCCTAGCTTGGCTAGGAAAACGTGCTTCTTCTCTTTTTAGTTTGACAAGCTTACGTGTGTGAAACGTAATATAAATTACGTTAGAAGTAATTATAAAGAGTAAATATAACTATAGATAAATTATATTTAGATATCCGAGGAGCAAAATAGATAAATTTGCAGAGTAAATATGAACTATTTTTGTTGAAATATGGTAGATATTGGCCACATTTCCAATGTTTGTATCATTGCACAGGAAGAGCTATCCTAATCAATACAAAAAATGTTTTTAAGATCACAGTTGCTATTATATGATCATAAAAGAAATGATTTCAGTTAATGATAAATAAAGTGCTTAAAATTGCTTAAAATTTAGCATTTAGTTATACAATACAATGTGAAGACATTATTTGCTTACTACGATGCCTTATCATGCAGCATTTGATTTAGCTATAGATCCACAAATGAAATCGATAAACTATTGGATAAGCCTAATTTTGTTTTTTCAGTGTTTAAAGGGCCAGAAACAACAGAAGAAGAAGAAGAGGAAGAAATTGCAGAGTTGAACCGTGAGTGACTTGTTCCTCAGGAAATATCCTTAGCAAATTCTAAATGGATTAATGACGCAGTAAATAAGTGAAATAGAACAAGATCTGTGAAAGTATGCACAAAGGAAGTATGAAAGACCAGTATATTTAAAACCTGCAATTAGAAGGAAAGAAATATTTAGAAAAAGACTAAAATATAGGTGAAATAAAGAAAGTATGTAAGAAGTACGGCGATGAAAAATCAAGATCTACAAGTAGAGGTGCAAAAAAAGGTCAAGTAGTTTATGAGTTGGGGTATATATATTTCGGGCACCCTTCTAAAGTTAATCACAATCGAAAGATAGATTCTTGTTCTCTAAATTTCTTTAATCAATTTTTTAGCTGATCTGTTTGAAGGAGACTTGAAGCTCACAAAAAGCGAAATTGACAAGATCAAAGACAACACCATTTCAAAGAAGGATACCATTGCCTTCGCAGAAAAAAAGTGGCCTAACGCCAGAGTTCCCTTTGTAATCGATGCAAAATTTGGGAAGTATCAGTTTCGTTCAATCATCTATTATTGTTTTTCATACAAAAGTTGCTTTTTTCCATCAAAGGTGCAGTCACATATTGCTATGAAAACTGAAGTGTACTGCTAAATTCTTCAAGCAGACTAAACGATTTCAATGATTTTTATACCTTTGTCTGCTATATTTGGTAGATTGAAATTCATGATTCTTGAATGCCACAACGAGGTGTTCATAGTTTGTATTTCTTACTGTATTGTGCTGTATTATGCTGTAACATTGTGCTGTATTGTGTTGTATCATGCTGTATCGTGCTGTATCGTGCTGTATTGTGCTGTATTGTGCTGTATTGTGCTGTATTGTGCTGTATTGTGCTGTATTGTGCTGTATTGTGTTGTATCATGCTG